CTTCCCGCGGCCCGTTCCCCGCCGTGCGCTTCGCTGACGGCGCGTTGGGGCCGATCTGTCGTGCTGACAGGCGGCTTGTGGGGGTAGATTCGATGTGTGCCTGCGCTCTTGGGCTGGGTAGAAGCAAACGGCTAATTGCGGGTGTCTTCCTTGCACTTACTGTGTGAGGTTTCGGCTTAAGCAGCTGCATCGCTTCCCTGAGGGTCTCTTAAATTGCAGTGCGGGGGGAAGAGCTGCATCTCAGCCAGGTTGGGAGTGGATGCTCTTAAACCAGGCCTTGTGCACCGATGCTACGGCCTTGGCTCATTAAAACAGCATGTGTGTGTGTGCACACCACAGACACAGCTCTAGACAGGTGTATTTTCACTTAGAAATAGCACAGCTGGATTTTTTTTTCCTGAAAAATAAAATAAAACTAAAAGTCAAAATACATGTGCTGTCACACTTGCGTTTTTTAAAAATATAGGTTTGCAGTCAACTCGTGAAGGTTTTTGGTGACTCTTGTATTCAGCTTCCACAAGACATTTGGAAGGGTGTGTTTATATCTACACTACTCTCACAACTGCAGCTTTTGGGATGCTGTGTGTCAGGATGCATCCTGGACTTAATGGGATGATTATGATGTGAGTGTGAATGTCTGCTCTCAAGTATGACTTTCTTCAGGGCTATGGCCCTGACATAGCGAAGTCTGACCTGATGTGCTTAATTTAAGCCAACAGTAAACATCAGTTTTGGAGGAGTTTGGAAGCAGCTGATGTGCTGATGGATTACATTCTGCTCTGAAACACGTGTCCTTTTTTTGCTTGTGAGCATCACAGAAACACTGAGGTTGAAAGGAACCTCTACCAGGGTCAGCTGGAGCAGGTTACTCAAGTCCATGTCCACTTAGGTTTTGAATATCTCCAGGCATGGAGACTGTGCAGCCTCTCAGGCAGCCTGTTCCAGTGGGTGACCACCCTCACTGAGTTTCTTTTCTTCATTTAATTTAGGTGAAATTTCTCATATTTCAACTTGTACCTGTTCATCTTGTCAATATGTGTCACCCAGAATCTGGCTACACTTTCTTTAGTCCTCCTTCACCAGGTCTTTGTACACACTGGCAAGAGCCCTCCTGAGCTGCCTTTAATCCAGGCTGTCCAGACCCAGCTGCCTCAGTCTCTGCTCATATGAGAGGTGTTCAAGCTCTTAATCACCTTCATAGCTCTTCACTGGACTACCTCCAGTATGTCCATGCCTTTCTGTTTCTGGAGACACGGTGCTCCAGGTGTACAGCACCAGTGCTGGTGAACCCTCTCCCTGTGTGGGATTTGCTAAGTTCATGAGGTTCCTGCGAGCCCGTTTCCTCAGCCTGTCGAGGTCCCTCTGAACAGCAGCACCATCACACGGCCTGTCAGCCACTCCTCTCAGTTTTGTATCCCCTGGCACCTTGCTGGGGTCTGTCAGCCACTCCTCTCAGTTTTGTGTCCTCTGGCACCTTGCTGGATGAGGATCCATCCTGCCCCATCATCCAGGTCACTGATGAAGGTCAGCGTCAGCCCTGGGATGGACGCCTGGTGTGCACCCCTTGTCAGAGGCCCTTGCTGGAGTTGGTCCTGCTGGTCACAACCCTCTGAGCCCAGCAGACCTGCAGGTTCTCACTCCAGGTTTGTCTGTGAGGATCTTATGGAAAATGGTATTAAAAGCCTTCCTGAAGCTTTTATTTTTCCTTTTTATTTTTTTCCCGTGACTTGGATTAAATTATAGTTCTTGGTTTTGTCCAGATTTGGACAATGTTTATTTTTCTTCTGAACAGTGTTATTGTTGCTTTATGAAATGTGCTGCACTAAAAAGGTTTTACTGAGTCCTGTGAGTTAGAGATTGAGAGTATTTCAACTTCAGAATTAAAATCAGTCTTATTTCTACCTGTCACTCATACTCCTTTTTTTCCTAAAGAAAGAAATTCTGAATAATATTCCTGAAAGCTAGATAAGACAAACATTCTTCATAGAAGCTGATCTTATGGGGAATACTTCCCACACCTGTCCAACTTTGCTGACCTTCCTTTAACTGTTTATTTTTAAGGGTAGAGACTTCCATATCAGGATACTGCTACCAGAGCCTTTCCAGCTGAAAAATGCCAGGTAGGAGAGTGTTACAAAGCAATTTGTAAGCATATGTAACAGAATTTTATTCTGATAATAGCAAAGTTGAATATGCATATTAATTACTCTTCTTTTTTCCCCAATATCAGTGTTGGTAATTAATTCTTACTGGTCTCAACTTAACCTCATGACAAAATTGTACAGCATCAGTGGTAATAAACACTGACAATGAACGTTGCTTATATCAAAATATTTTGTTGTTAATTAACTTTGAAACCTGTCGTAATTAATTGGTTATATTTATATACAAATCAAACTACTCGGGGTGGGGAAAAATGCTCATTTAAATCAGATTATTTCTGTGTCACCATTTGGGAAACAAAACTCTGTGCAAGGCTGTAGATTTAAGCAGTTATGCACGTGGTGGTTAGCACAGCTTTTTTTAACTTCATTTTCTCCTTCCTGTTAATAAGCATTCAGCTTTTCTCTGAGAGCTCTGTTCTTATCCTGTGTTCATCACAGTGATCTGGGGGTGGGTGTGCACTGTGTGTATCACACCTGCAAGGATTGATCCTGAAAGTTGCCTTCCCTCTGTCTGCCTCGGCCTGGGAACAGATGTGCTACTTGTCAGCTCTATCACAGCCCAGGCTGGATACTTAAAAACACATTATAGGCAACTGTGACATTTTCAAGATATTTTAAATTTTTAAATACTGGCATATTTGATGAAGTCCTATTAGCTTGCAAGAGTTAGGTTGTTTTCAGAACAGGCTTTTGTAGGTAAATGCTTAATTTTTAATGGGCTTTGGGATAGTGACATTTGAAAGTTTTAAATAACTTTGAACATGAAACTCAAAGAAATTTTGAAGTATTGTTTACTTGGGTTTTTATAGGAAAAACTTTTATATTGCATAGCAGACTTTCTGATCTCTTTCAAAAATCACATACTGAGAATTTAAAATTTATACAAAATACTCTTTGTCTAGGATAGAGTGCAGCTGGCAGCTAAAGAAGATCCTGCATGGGTATCGACATATTTTAAAGCAGGTATACAACTTTTAAAACCATTTCTGTTAAATGTATATTTAAAAGAATTCTGAAAATCTTATACTCACACATCTATTCTAAAGGTGTTAAAGAACTCTCATTGTATGGTCAAGATTTTCTTTGAAATGCTTGAGGATTTGCAGGTGAATCTAAAGAGAAATGGATACAATTTAATAAATATTTATTTTTATTCAAGATCTATTTTTTCAAAGATTGAGATAGAATGATTTTTAATAAATACTGACATTTTACTAGCATTTTTCTTTAATCTCAATTAGAATCATTGTTTTTTTCTTTTTTATACATATGTATTTTTTAATGAACTGTTCATAATGCAAAAAAAAAATAATTCACATTACCTACTGGTAGGTCTAGCTCATTCTGTGTTGTAGGCAGTCAAGGAATCTAAATTAAACCTCCCTATCCAGAAAAAACTTTGGAGCAAGGGACACAACAGCTTTGCAGTCAGGAAGAATATTCTGTGTCTAGGAGGGCATCTTTAGGGCACGTCCCACTTGAGACACTTCATCTCATGGCCTGTGCCCCTCTTTGCAGGACAAGGGTTGTGAGCTGGGAGTAACCAAAGAGCCCTGAGGAAACAAAGTGTAAATATGTCCTGCATCTGAAGATAGACAGGGATCCTTCATCAAGGACAGCATCTGAAAGCAGAGGAGTCTGGAGAGTTCCTAGAGAAAACATAACCAAGAAACATTTTTGAGTGATTCTAAAGCTTCTTTTCTCATTGGGGAAGACTAAAATCTTCATAAATGTCTTCATAAATACACAAACTGTAAAGTCTTTGTAAACTGTATAAAAAATGTAATGTGACATGATGTGATGAAGGTGATGGTGAATTTTCAGGGAAGTGAATTTCCAGGAAACCTTCCTGTACTATGCAAGGTTTGTTCTTTAATTGAAATATTGAAATGTGGTATACGGTTGGGGATTTAATGTTAGTTGGTTTGACAGTACTAGAAAATCAGACTGCAATTGTTTACCCCTAAAAGTTACAAACTGATACTGTGTTCCCTCCAGAGGCTGCACAGCTGTCCAGACCTTGTCAGCTTTATGGTGGAGCTGAAAACTGTTTTGGTAAGTGACAGAATATATATGTGGGAGATGGGACATTCTCATAGCTTTGGTTATCACTTTCAGTTCTTTACAGTTTACTGTTTGATAGATGGATTTGTTTTTTCCTAAGGAAGACTTAATTTTCTATATATTCTGTTCATGTAATATTTGTATGAATTTCATGACAATTATTTTCTTGGAATTGCTATAATTGTCCAGATGGTAAAGAAAGCCTCTAATCATACAGAGCATTACACAGTCAGTGCCTTGCTGAAGGTGCTTTCACCTGCATGACAACTTGACCAATAAATGCAGAAAGCTTTTTTTTTTATAGACTGCTATTTTTTGGTGATTTTAGTTTGGGGTTTTTTTTGTTGTTTTTTTTTTATTTTATTTTTTAGGTTTTTCTAACGTGGGATTGAAGAGTAGCAAAATCCTCAGTTCACAAGAAGAAACTGACAATTTCTTGTCTGTTAGTAAAACGTTATTCTATGTGTATTCTTGGCAAAGAGTACTTGTTTACAACCTACTCAACTCAGAAATAAACCACAGCAAGAATTCTTCAAAACAAAACAAAAATGCCCTCCTGGTGCTACACTGCTCTGTGCTGGGAATGCCCTTCCCCAGGACTGGTTCAACTGGATTATGCTAAACCAGGCAAAGGCTCTTGGAACAGGGCTGAAAAAGGAGGTCTACGTGTGGCTGTTCTGGATATCTCACAATAGTTATTCCAGTCTGTTTGCCTGGGTACACAAACACTCAGGAGATGAGAATTCAATGAAAGTATAATTCATTCCAAATAGTAAGACAGTGATCCTCAGTGCAGAGAGTAAAAACAACAGAAGATGCTGTGGGAGAACTGGGCAGAAATTATTCTTATACTGATTTTATTCTAAATTATGTTTATTTTTAATTAACTTTTATATTAAATTATTAATAATTTTATTCAGTTTCATTAATTTATTTGTCCTGTAAGCATAATTTTAACTTAAATATACTTCCAAAGAGCAGCTAGAATGTGGAACATCTGGTTGAATTTTGTTTTTCTCTCTAACATAGCATTTGATAACTAACATACCTGTTTGATAACTATTTTGTTTTGAGGCATTATTGTATACTTGATGAGCATCTGTACCAAAACTTACTCTGGGATCCTACGATGTTAAAACTGACAATTTTTTTTGTTTTATTTTTTTGGATTGCTATATGAAGTTGTATATAGCTGCTTAAAAATAATATGAGAGATTTCATATATGTGTTGTCTTTTGTGGCTGTGGAGCCCAGGAGACAGCTGTGGGCTTAATAGAACCTTCTTTTGAAAAGTTCTTTCAGTCAAGATGCTTGGCTTCAAATTTATTAGCTGAAAAAGAGGCTCATTTGATATTTGCATCTGAAGACTATGTAGTCAACATCTGTGTTTTTTATTTTTCTAATTGCAGATGTTTTCATTACCAGTATCTGAAGTAATTTACTAAACAACTTCTTTGTCTGCTTTAGCTGGAGGCTATAACAAAACAAATGCAGTGTACACTTAATTTTACATAAGCTTAATATTTTTGAATGAATGGGAAAAATCACATGACTAAATAGATGCAAAAATATTGAAATCTCTCTTAATGATGTTTTTAATGTTCTTTTAAACAGGAAATTGCTTTAAAGAATACACAAGACCTGCACATACCACGGCCGCCAGAATACTACTCCTGTCTTGTCAGAGACCTAGAAATATTGGGTTGGAATAAGTATGTTTATTTTATTTCTTAACAGACAGCATCTTTAGAATATCTGTTCTTTTTTTTCTATTTGTGAGTCGGACATCCCAAATGTATCTGTGCTGTTAATTTATCCTGTTGAGAAACTGGGTTTACTTTAAAAACACTGCTGCTTTGTTTTTCATTTAAAAAAAAATCCCAAACCAAACAACAAACCTGTATCAACTGAAGGTGTATTTTCAGTCTCAAATAACTGAGCTGAAAGGTGCGATAGTACTACTAAGAAATCAATTCTTCTTTGACCTATAAACTAATGGCATAGTAAACATTAAAGAATCTGCTTCTAGGGCAGAATGTGACCTGGTTTCTAGGCAAGGACAGTCTTCATGTAAACACACACCTTACACTGTGCTTTTGTCCAGTGTAGTCATCTATTGCAGCTGGTTGACTTATATTACAGGTAAAGTCTCCATTTGGTTGGAGAAATCAATCATTCATCATAGGGCTGGGCTATACACAGAGGATCATACCTGGTTTACTATGAGTTGGAAGGAGAATAACCTGGAGAGGTGATTTTATAGTGCATTAGTAAGTTCCACCCCTAATTTTAATGTGCTTTTAATAGTGTAATGAACTACTAAGAAGGCCTCTTCACAGATCAACAGGTTATAAAGTTGTACCAAATTTCCAACCCTGCCTTAACATCTGATGTGTTCAGGGAAGGATATTTCTTTCATTTTGGGAATGTGGGAAAATACCAGCATGAACCTAATCAGTGAGGTGGGAGAGAGTACCTGTGTAGTAGTATTAAGCTATAGGAAAGGCTTTTCTAGTATGATCTCATCATCTTGCTAGTAGATTTGACACCATTACCTTGGGAAGGTAGATTATCAACTAATAAAACATTTGTAGAACTCTCATCACCATCATGTGGAGTCATAAAGGTTGCCAGTTCTTAAGTCCGTGGTGTGAGCCACGATCCCACTTGTCTCAAGTCCTGGTGCTTTTCTGCCTGGTACCTGCCAGCTTTTCCATGGAAAATATCATCTTTTGCCTCCTCCATTTCCAGGGAGATCCTCCCTTGTTGTGTGCTCTCAATCATTTGTGTGTTGTGTCAAATGACAGCACTTCAAGTGGTTAACTGAGGCCTTCCATCTTTACGGTCATTCCTTTTTTCTGTACGATAAAATGATGGAGCCTGCAGAGAAATAAAGGTTTCTATAACTGAATTAGGACTTTTACAGCATTGTCCAACTTTCTCCAGTCCTATGTAACTGACCCTTTTGTCTTTTCTTATCCAAAGAATGGTAGAGTGATGTTGCAGAACGAGTAGCCACAAAGCTGCTGAGTTTCTTTTTTCTATTCTAAATGGAAAATTGAATTCTCCTTCATTCCCTGGAGGCAGTTTACTGTTTTTACATTCTGTGGAGAAGGAAAGCAAGCTATGAATTTTCATTCTGGGCATTCTTCATCCTTGTATGCCCCTTGTCTGAGGAGGTTTTTATTCCTTGGTGTTCTTGGTTGTGGAAAAAGTTTGAAAGCAAATAGAAGGTTTTACTAGAAAACCTCTAAGTGCATGGTTTGTAATAAATAACACTTTGAATAAATAAGACTTAAAAAGTGCTGTGCTGCCTGGCTTGAATAGTTGTCTTCTACTAATAGAAGACTGACAGATGTCTTCTTTTTGAATAAAAGTCATAAGAATGTCCAGATTGCTCTGGATTGTAGTGGTGATTGATAGTGGTGAGGATCTACCTTTTTTACAGTGTGTTTCTGTTATCTCCAAGCTCAGTCACAGAAAGTCACATTTTTAAACTGTTTTTAAAAGATACTTTAAATTTTCTAAAACGAAAAATATATTAAAAATTGAATAACAGACAAAACTTGGAAATCATTTTGTGGTGTATCTGCCTAGTAGATAATTAAACAGGCAGCTGTTATTAGTCCTATTAGCACCTTTTACAAATGCTTGCTTTTGGGGGAATATAGGGAGTTTCTTATCTTTATAAAACTTTGTGATGTAATTTTAAGGTAAAGTTGGAACAAAATGGGAGTAATGATTTTTTTTTTTTTCAATTAGGGGAAGAATGCTCTAATTCTTTCAAAAAAACTCCAGTTTAATTGACTTCAGTTGCATTACAATTGTATCAAGACTTGCATTTCTTTCAGCTGCTGTGGAGAAAAGGAGTGTCAAAATATGCCCAGGATTCTGCAGGACTATCTAATATTGCATTATAGTTAGTCAGCATTAAGCCTGAAAAAATCTCTCTCCCTCCTTGCTACAACTACTGGTTTTTCTAGCTGTATTCTTCAGTTCCCTCATACTGAGGCTTTGTCATTTCAGTAGATCATTTTCTTCTTTTCACTTGCTTCCTGGGAATGTGCACATCCTTTGGGATATGTCTAGTTTTTCTTGTACAGGCTTCCAGAACTCGGTTGCCAGTTTCAGTTGAAAGAGAACCATTTTTCCCAGCATTTAAAAAAAAAACCCAAGACAACAGTTCCTTGGGCCAGGCAGCATATTCTTTCTTTGAACTCTGATAGGCCTTGCCATCAGTCTAGATGGTAAGTAGTACAGTAATCTCAGACTGCTTTTTATCTTTACACAAGATAATAATCTTTTCCACAATATTCATGTGCCCAGTTCCCTGGTAAATATATGGAGAAGTTTGAACCTTTTTGGCAGTTGTTGAAGGTACTCAGCAGAACATATTTCTAGAGAACAATGTCTTTTACAATCGTATTCATCTTCATTGTTGTGGGAAGCACAAATCAGTGACATCTTAAGCAAAGAGTCAGTGAGTATATCAGAAGTTCTAAAACTTATTTACGTTTAATATGTACTTGCTACTTGCTTGGGTGCATGTATACTGTGTAAAACTGTCATGAAACAGAGGCAAATCATCATAAATAACTCATTTTGTACCTGTTTGGGTGCTGTTTTCTGTGGAAAATCAATTTCAGAATATGAACCAATATCCACTGAATTTTTCCACAATAATAGTATTGATAATAAAAGAGAACTTCATTGAAGAGAAAAGCAAATCAGGAGCATAAAAATCTCATACAGTAAGAAACTGCAGAAATGGATCAAAGATTTGACAGGAAGTTTAATGTGTACATAAGTAGAGGCTGACAGGAACATGCTGTGTGTGTCAAAGGTTCCAGTGATGGAAAACTGAAACACAGTGCTCACTGACCACAGCCTGAGCCGTGACACGCTGTAAATAACCCCCAGACAGATGACTGCAGCAAGCAGTGGACTGCTCTATGAACAGCAGTAAATCTCAACAGCAGAGATGCCTGGCATATAGGACTTCCTCCCATTAATATTTGTAACAGACTAATCAGAGCACTGCAGACATTGCAAACTGTACAACCTCACCCTGCTGCTAAGAGTTTTCTTTTCTCTTCCAGAGTCGCCTACGTGGATACTGGGCTCAGCACAATCAAGCTAAAAGCTGAGGACTCTTGTGGTCGACAGCATCTCATCACTCTGAAGTTAAATGCAAAGGTGAATTGATGTGGGTGATAATATTTTAAGGCTTCCTTGAAATAAATGTTTTTTTTCTTAATTCATAAGGACTTTAGAGAGTCGGTTAGTATGTCAGTTCTGCAAGATAATGGTGAGGGGGATTGAGAAGTTTTTATAGAGAAGTTTTATTTTAGAGAAAGTTTTCAGTCTTAAACTATATTTAAAATTAATACTGCATTATGGTTATCTGTGAGAATCTTTTCATGTGAAGTGTGCATCACGTGAAAAACACTTTATGATATTGCAATTATTTTACTGGATTACAAACAAAGCCATCTGGAAGACTTTGATTCATTATCACTCCATCCAGAGACTATGTATATAAAAACAATTAGAGAATGTTGGGTTGCTTCTTTAGCAAGTCACCATAAAAGCTATAGATACAAAGATTTATGAAAAACTGACTACAGAAGTGAGTTCCTTATGCTAATTTATTTCTTTTTAGTCTAAAGAATTGCCTGATTTTGACAGTGCTTGCAAAGCAAATGCATGGTGTGTGTAGAAGAAAAATTTTAATCACTCATGGTACCTAGAACTGAACTGAGAGTGTTTCTTCATAGAATTTCTCATTTCAAGGTCTCAATCTCCTGTCAGAAACTATGACTATCCAGGCTGTATGGTGACAATTGTAGGGTAATTGCTGTTTTCAGAAAATCAGTCTGGTGGGAAAAGTGGATCCAAAAGTGCCTAAACATTGTTCTTTGGGACTATCGTTGGTCCATTATCTGGACTAGTAGTCTTGAAGGGATGAGGAGTGGCCATGGTCTTGTAAGATTAGATTTCACCTTCACAGACATCCTGTATTCCTTTAAATGCCAGCAGTTGTTTGGTTTTTCATAAGACAAGCTAACTTCATCTTAGAGGGGGAAAAGGACTGTTTGGAAATTGAGGTTTTTAAAGTAGATTTCGAACAAAGAGTAAAACTATCCCACATGCACAGAGTAATGAGTGCATAATTAACTTGCTAGTCAGTCCACTATTAAATACATTGATGGAAAGGATATATCAGGAAATACAATTATGGTCTGTTTAACATGCAAGAGAGCAACCAGACTGTACTGTCATTGGTTATAAGGGAGCTGCTTAGCCCATACTTAGTCTGATGCTAGAAGTTAAGTGCAGCCTTGTGCCCTGTATTTTCTTGAATTTATGGCAGCTGAGAAGTATTGTAACTGTTTGGAAGTACAGAAGTGCAGAAAAAAATCTATAGTGCAGTACCTGTTTTTCCCAAGCAGCTGCCCTGCTCAAACACTATTCCACTTGTGCATCACCTGGGTCTGTTGAGCCTTAACTTATTGCTGCACAGTCAGGGCAACCAAGAGCTTGTGTATTTTCTTTATAGTAAGAAAACATCTGAAGTTGGGACTCCTAATAGCAGAAGAAAGCACTGTCTGACAGCTAAGGATATTGTGTAATAAAGAGACTAGATTATCCAACTCTATTTGTAACAAGTAATCATCAATTATTTATTTTTTTTCCAAGTGATTGTTATGATGAAGGATCAATTGCTTGTCCTTTCTAAACCATGGCTGGCATTTAAACTTGCCACAAGAGAACATTTATATATGAATCATGGTTTTGGTGACATAGGCATTTGAGTTTTCCTGATACACGTATCTAATACATTTGAAAAGGCTTTGCTGGAGTAGTTTTTGATAACCTGTTTTAATGAAAGTGTTTATTTTTGTTGTGCTGTTTCTTTGATTAAGGTTAGTGTGTGAGCTAAACCTCACACTGCTGGCTCTCATCTGGGCTTGGGCAGATGGGTTTGTTCAGCCTTGTCCTCATGGATGCTGTACTGTGAAGTGAGTTTATAAGCCTGACAGTGTTTTCAGGAAGAAACACTTTGATAAGTGATTTAGGATATTCTTTTTCATAAGGTTATCATGTGTATTGAGATAATCCCCTGAATATTCCCTTGCTGTCATTCCTACCAGTTTAGATGTATTCTGAGCACTCTTCATTAATGTGTTGTCACGTGTTCCCACCTGTTACCCTTGTCTCAGTGTGCTTTGGGTGAGGAACTGTCCTTCCAAAACACTTGCTCTCTATGAACTGCATTTGTAAAGTGTCCTGAGGCAATCAAGTAAAACATGGAAGAATTGGGAAAGTCCTGTCATATTTAGGTATGTTAGCCAAACCATGTGTTTGTATAACTTTTTCCAATTTATTTGGTTGAAAATGCCTGGTCCAGAAATCTTTATCCATTCACAAATTAAATAAATGACTGTTGCAGTTTTCTGAAAACAAGAAAATTTGACTGAACATGCAGGGAAAAAATACTGTAGTGGGTTGGTTTGTTTGTTTGGGTTGTTTTTAAGTAATACAAAGTTAGTAGAATCTGTTTGCAACACATGTTCAAAGACACCCTACAAAAGACAAAAGCATAAAAAGCACCCTACAAAAGCATAAAATGAATTGACTTACCAAGGAAGTAGCCACATAACTGGCTACTGCTGGTGCTGCTGGGATTTCAGTGAGGTAGACCAAAACCCAATCCTAAAGAAAAATTGTCCTTTGTTCTAGGCATACTTTCATACATTGAAAACAAGTTCATTTCTGTGCAAGAATTGAAGTAGTTTGTGAAAAATAATACCTACAGTACAAGAACAGTGCCAGTACAACAGAAGAAACTGTACCAGCTTTTGTGGCTCTCTCTGTTTGGAAATTGTAACTGCCTCCTGCCCAAAGTAGTTGATTTGCTTCTCTTGCTGTCACTGTTATTTAATTTGTCTGTCACCAGTTTGATAAAATGGTAAGGCACAAGGTATTCAAGTTGTAAGAGTTGTCTTCAGAAAGTGGATACCTAACAGAAACCACAAATGAAGGGAGAGTAGAAAGTGAGTTTAAACAAATTTCTGTGAAATCCATAAATCCAGTAGATTATTATTAATATCAAACTCATGATGCTCTAGGGAAGCTGTCTTTCTTTTTTTGCTCTTTGCCATAGAGAACAGTTTGAGGCTAATTACTGTAGAATTACATTTTACACAAAATAAAGCCACATTTTAAAAACTGTGATAAATTGGTTGCCAGATGTCTGATAAATAAGGACAGTGTTTCTAGAGGTTTACTTTGGAAGGAGAATGGTTATGGGAAGCAGCACTGCTAAAATTCACCTCTTTGTCTTAACTCTTTTTAATTCTGTGAGGAAGCTGGGGCTTTTTTTTCATATGTCTCCTCAAATAAGATTCTCTGTAACATTTTCTTGTGCTGGCAGTTGATGCAGTACTAATACAATTTCACTAAAACTGCCATGTACATCATTGGTAGAATTTCAAAAGTTCCACAGGACTGAAGGAGGCAACTTCTCAGGTGAATCAAATTTTGGATAGGTGCTCTTAGAAAGGATACAGTTTGTGTTATAGATGTTTCTTTCCTTTGCTACTTTATTTTTCAAAAATACCATTTTTTTTCCAACAGATTTTACACTGAGTGCTGAATAGCAATTGTTTTACTGGAGCAATGAATAGTGATTATTTTTGGAGTTATCAAACCTTTTTATAGCTTCAGTATTCTTAATACAGTGCTTTTTTCTTTTCCTCATTGATACCTTTTAATTTGGGGTGGGGAGGTTTAATTTTGGGTGTATGTTCATAGATCTCTTTCTAAATAGTTATGTACTTTGGTTACTTTCAGTTTCAAAACAAAAAACGTTGCAAATCAGGGCAATATTCTAGTTTAAACAAAAAATAGTTCTTGACTCATGAAAGAGTTTTTTTGTTTGTTTTTAAACTTTCCTATCCAGTACAGGTAATTGAGGAGAATTTTTTAAAAATGTGGTATGTTTTTTGTCTGAAGTTCTTTTTTAATGTGTCTTTGTGAACACTGAACACAGAAAACTGTGACTCTCCTGCCTTTACTAAAAACTGATCTAGGAAAACTGTTTACATGTAGATTTCTTCTTTAAATGATAATTAACATTCCTAACTGTTTCTGAAAATGCTTTACATACTGCTTCTTCTAAGAGCCAAATTCTCAAGATGTCTGAAGTGCTCATATTTTGTTATCAAATTTGGCAGCTGAGTATCAGTCTGACTTTAAATCACTTAAAAAAAAGAAAAAAATCGTATTTTCTTTTCCTCCCTCAGTATCCAACAGAACCACCAGATTGCCTTGTGGATTTTCCTGTTCAGTTTGCTGTTTCCTGGATGCCACAGGTAAACTGCTGTTCTCTGCATCTTGCTTTAATAGCTGAGATACATGTATGCAATATGTAGGTTCTAACGAGGGGTTGGACTTGCTTTTTTAACCCCAGCTTTTTTCCCCTCTCTGTGGATTTTACTTTTACATGTGCTTCTGTAAATCTAATAATCCTGAACTTCATATTCCTTTTTATAGTGTTTTAAATATTTTCCTTGTCATACAGATAGACCTTGCATGCTGTAGGCTTTGCACTCATTCTGGCTGTTTTTTTACTTCAGCTGAAAATCTTTAGGAATAACACTGGGAAAATATATGCACAAGAAATCCTTGTCTTCTAGAAAAGAAGCACCCTCTAAAGTTGACAGACATTTAAAAAAAGGTGGTCCCTTGAGTTTGTTATCCTAGCTAGTTTTCAGTTACAATCAAAAGAACAACAGGAAAGTAGTTTAATAGAATTCTGATTTCATATTTAACTGATATTATTAATAAAAAGAACCACGAGCCATGGTCTTCTTTTTAGTCACTCGCATTATTTCATGTATCTTTTTTCCTTAACAGAGCATGTGTACTTGATTAAATGGATTTAAATGTGACCACTTAGATGTAAGTTAATTTGAATTATCTCTAGAAAATAGTTGATGTTTAATTTCATTTAACTCAGGAGAAAATAGATTTTTACATAAATGATTGCATTTCATAACTCTAACTCTCGCGAGGATTTCTACCCATCAATAAAGCCTGTCCTTATGGTGCTCAATTTACAGAGGGAACGTGGCTGGAAGGTTGCATCACAATGATTTTAAGATGGGCATAGAATTTTGACTGAAAAAAAGTTTGGAAAAATTTAAACAGATTTCCCCCCCATCACCCCTTTAAATTGTACTGGATTCCATATATTACGAGCAGGATTTCAAGGACTGTTTCTAACCTCCAACTTTATACATATTTTTATTAGTATTTTATTAATCTTACAGCCTTACAATTTGTGTTGCCTCAAATTAACAACATTTCAAATATCTTTGACAGTCATTACTTCTCTGTGTTTACTGTTAGTAATTTTAAAGCTCCTAGCTGGACTTATGTTTTAATAACATGTTCCTGAAAAACACGACAGGAAGCAGTCTTCTCTCACAAGTTAAAGATGGGAACAAATGTATTAATATTGACACTACAACCAAGTAAAAATCTAGCAGTGAAAATATGACATTCTAACCCTGGAGATCTGAAAATCCTTTTACAGTTAGAATTACCTGTGGACTGTTTGCAAACAGGAACAGGAGATGTTTGTGTGTAACTGAAGATGCTGCTCTGAAATGATGAGCTACTAATTCTAGCTGCAGGTAGCCTGCTCCAACACTGAACCAAATACCCACAGCCTGGGCATTGTGCTGGCAGAAATGCTTTAGTGGGACAGCTGGGTTTGAATAGTGACCTTAGCTGTGTGAGTGACATGGACCTAACATTGGTAGGACAAAAAAGGAATGTAGTAATTGTGTTTATTTTCAAAATGTATGGAAATCATTGCAGTGAGCAGTCTCCATGCTGTGGTAAAATAAGGGTTAAGCTTAGCAAATGCTGAAACACCACTGGTAGCAGAATTTAGCAGTTCCTCGAGTGGTTGAAAATTTTGGTCCCTAAATGGCAAATAGAAAAAATAACGTGAAGTTTTGATACTTATAGTTCTCAAATTTAAATATTTGTTGGGTTATCATTAATGTAAAAACTGGCAAGGCTTAACTAAAATTATGCAATTGTTCTAGTAGAAGATAAATTTCTGTGAAAGAAAATATAAATAGATTTCAGGTAATTGATTTTTTTTTTTCCCCCTCACCTCCCCCCTGTGCGTTCTGTTGCCTATTTCAGGTTCTTTTCAGTCTCCTGGACTTTAAACTTGAGGGGTTGTTGGGTGGATGTTTTTTTCCTTTTCTTCTTTTTTTTTTTTTTCCCCTCTGTATAATAATAGACATGGCTTTATGGCATCCATATTAAAAATGGGTAATTTTCCTTATGGTCCCTGTCTTCCTGCTGGGTTGATAATGTTTTGATGTATTTTTCTTTCGCTCTGATGAGAGGTCTGCTGCTGCTGCTCTGACATATTCATTTGGATGAATAATTATAACTTGCACAATGTCAAGCTGAAGATGGTAGGGTTTTGTGCGTCATGACAAGCCTAGTAGCCAGTGCAGGTGTCTCACAGCATGAGCAGCAACAGCCAGTGCATTCTGGCTCAGAGGAGACATTTTAGAGTAGTAAGAAATCAGCACCAAGGGCAATGCTGCTGCTGCTGCTACTGTTACAAGTGCCAAATAAATGCAGAGTGCTTCTCAATGACAAGTGCAAGAACATCTACTTATTTCAGTTAGATTCCTTTTCTAAATAAGCAGGTAAATGTGCTGTCTCCACATTTCAGCACACGCTGCACGCACGGACCTGCAGTTTCAGAGCATCTATATTCTGCTGCCCTCCCATCAGGGTATTGTTCCTACACTGACCACTGCCCACCTGGCTGGCTACATGAAGGTCATGAGAGTGGAGATTAATGACTAATGAGGTCATGCAGCCAGCCAACAATGAAACTAATACAAGATTCAGAAGGTAGAGTGGTAGCAATGAGATTCTTTTTTTTTTTTTAATGAAAACACAGTAAGATGCATCATAATTGTGCTGCTTCTTAGCAAAGGAGCTTCACAGACACCAGCTTTATATTCATCTGTAAATACAAAATATGGAGATGGTTGACAAGACACTTTATAAAGATTTCAGAGTTGTCTCATTTTGATTTGTGCCAAGGAGGGAGAAAATTGTTGCACTACTGTTCCTGAAAAATAAACAGTTTCCAAACAAATCTAAGGAATCATAAATTCTTTAGGTAGTACAAGTGATCCTTGTCCAGCCAACAACTGTTCACTTTGTTAAACTCTTTTTTATCTGAGAATGCATAAGTGGCAAACAAGTAACAGTGCCTATAGTTTAGGCTACTTCACATTTTCCATTAGGAGGCTCTGCAGTGGTTTTAATTTCGGGGAAGCAAATTCTGTGTTAGGAAGAATGGTAGTAAAAAAAATTGAAAATAAAAATGATGGCTTTATCTTTTTTAAAAAAAATTAATTTTAATAAATTGTGCTGTATTTACATTCTTAGAATATTCTCACTACCCTTTGATTCACACTTAGTTCATCCAGGATTTGGAGCAGGCATTTGAAATTTGGCAGATTAGCCATACAGGCATACAGCACTTCTTTAGAGCTGCTGAAAGGCTTTGTGGGTTTTATGGCAGGCACAGACTCAGGAATTCCTCCTTATTATTCCCAGCCCCTGTGGCTCTAGAAATAAGAACCAAGAGTGGAGAGACTTTTTTGTCCATTTCTTTAGCTGAAGGAAACGGTGCGTGGGCAATGGGGGTGAGCATGGGGAAGTGTTTAAATTGGAATAAAGTAAAAGGAAAGAAGCAGCATGCAGAGCTAACAGTGATGAGCTGGAGAGTGCAGAGGACAGGAATGGAAACAAAAAACCTGCAGGTTACTCCTTCCTAGTAGAAGAGAAGGTATGTTCCCCTCAAAGAGATAGGTCGAGAATATCAGATTTTCACTGACCACACTGAATGTGGAGCGTTTAAAGTGCAACAAGGGTCGTAGGAAGTGATGCTCTGATAAAAACACTCCTCTTAAAGCCAGGTGAAGGGATCTCAAGCTGAGGATCCCAAAAGAACACTTTCTCAGACTCTTATTTTTCCATACAAGAACACACTGAGGCCATCTAATCTGAAAATGCCTTTTGCTGGTGAACTTGGTAGTTTTGGGGCTGCTGAGTTGCCATGGTGGCCGTTACAGAGAGCTGAAGGGCACAGGGTCACTACATCAGAGAGCAAGTCTCTGTCACAAACTCACCAAGCACCCCCAGAAGGCTTTCTCAGGAGCTGGGTGCTGCAATGGAGGGGAGGTGGTCCAGCTGCTGATTCTGTAATTGGAGAGGTCTTTCAACCAGCCCTGGCTCTGGGTGTCCCCTACAGCTACCAAAGGCAACATTCAACAGCCACAGCGTTCTTTGGTTTTATAGTGTTGTTTTGCTTGATGAGCATGGAAACCTAAAGGATCCAGAGTATGGAGGAACCAGTTTGGTTTTGCTGGTCCTATTTAGAGTCAGGGCAGGCAGTGATGATAACCTGGATTATCAGTGTCTTATTTTCCAAAGAGTATCTGACAAATTGCACGCAGGTTCTAATGCAGTTGTACAAAGGTGACCAAGAAACAGTTTTTGTGCTGTCTGACATTAGCAGTAACAAAAAAAATGAGTGGTCTTTTCTAAAACTGTTGGGCAATGACCAAAAATTAGTTGGTTAATCAAATGAAAAGGGATGTTACAGTTTTCATGGTTTGCATGACAAGCGTGTGATGTATTTAAATAGCTATAGATGCATTTCTGTATATAGCAGGAGACAGCTGGCAACATCAATGAAGCATGCAAATAAGATCAAATGAACAGTGCATTAAAAAAAAAGATTTAACTACCTTTTTAAGGAACATCATTGAAAAATTACAATTAGTATTAAAATTAATTGGATTTTAAAACTTATCTGTGGGTTATAATCCCTTGATGTTTCTTTTTTCTAGTGAAACCCTTTGAATTCCCGGAAGATAAAGATAAAAATGATTATTAGAGGATTTATCTGTGTGTGATATAGAAAAATGTAAAAAATCAAAATGGAAAGCAACTGTTGCAAGTACCAGAAAATTATGCTATTAATTTAAGTGTCATCAGAGCACAAAAGATCACATTTCAGGACTGTGTGAAAATTATTAAAATACTGGAAATAATAGTACTTAAGATGAAGATATTATACTCTAAGATGTGGTTAAGTGACTGACACTATTATATCACTTCAGGTATTATAAAAGTAACAAAATGCTTTTAAAGATAATAAGCGTTACATTTTGAGATTGGCAGTATTCACACTTTTCTGCTTAAGTGCTTTCCTACTTTAATATAATTTAATAACAGCAGGAAAAAATGTAGCATTTTATATCTAAGCTACACTGTTTTGTCCTAAAATATGTATGAGTGAAATATAAAAACTTATTACATATAAAAATCTTTTTTCTTCACCTGAGAGTGTTCATATAATTTACTACTTTTTGTCCAGGTGAGAAAGAACATAACTACTAAATATTAAACAAAGCAATTCCAGTGTATTTTGTGTTATTTGTAGAAAAATACCTCTTTAAGAACTGAACATTTAATTTGCTTTTTCTTTTTGACCTCGGGAACTTGTTCCCAGGCCAAAAGATCTCTGAAATGTGGCCCATGCTGCATCATTTTTGTTCTTCAAGATGCACTTCACCATCTCTATCCTATTTGAAGCAGTCTTGTCAGTTCTTTTCTTTTCCTTCTTTTTAGTCATGCATTTGTTTAGTTGTGTTTTGTGTAAACTATTTCAAAATACCTTTTGGTGCTCCCAAATAATTCCTTTTTTTCTGCTCTTGAGTTTCTCCCTACCAAAGAATTTGAGAAAACAAGTTATGTGGGAAGAGTTTGTCTCCAAAGCACTTCTCCTCACCCTTGATCTCCCTTCACTGCCACCTTTGTGTAGTTTCTTGACACCTCCACTTTTTTCCTGTAGTAGCTTCCTCTCTTGCCATGAAGATGCCACATTCTGATGGCTCCTGCTCTGTTCATGATTCTTCCCAGCTCCTCCTTGTTTTTTGGTCCAAAACCTGTACAGGGCACTACTCCAAACAGAACTGGTCTCTTCACCTCTCTTTGGTTCCCTACATTTATGTTTTGTGCCCTGTGGGCGTCTGTATTTGGAGAGGTCTCACCTGCTGAGCCTTGTCTCCACTTGAAGTCTTTCCCTGCAGAAAGTGTTACTTTTGCACTCAGTGAGGATTTTAAAATACTTCTTTTGTGTTGCTGTTCTCTATATTGTCCTGTATAATGAAAGATTTTTCTGATTCCATCTAATCCACTCTCAAATATTGAAATCTCCAGTGTAATCCTCTGATTATGAGATGGTTTCTCCATCTCTTACCGTATTTACACGGCTTGAAATCTGATGTTAAGTACCTGGTTTTATACTGCTTAATTTTGAGATAATTATGGTATCATTAGGTTATAGTTCTTAGTCTCTAAAAATAAATAAGCTACTTTAGTTAGGTGGGTATTTCTGTGAGTTTGTTTTTGGCAGCACTGCTGTGTTGCTCAGCTGAAATAGAGACAAAATATCCAAATTTTAGAAGTTTAATAGTAGATGATGATGATTTTTACTTTAATTTTATAGCAGTTTGTTACAAGTTACAACACAAAGTAATACTTGTTGCCAATTTTCAGAAAAGCTTTCTGAAAAGGATTATAAACCACTATGAAATCCAGGTATGATGTACTTACAATGCAACAGGCTGGAACTACCAAGATTAGAGAATTTACTTTATACAATAGGGACACAACTATTCCTCACTTAAAAACGAATTGTTTTTTCATTTAAAAATACTATGGGGTTTAATGGTTTATGCTAGTGTGATATAATTGGATACACAGTAGATTTTATCAGTTCTGAAATTGCTATGGTTTGGTTTTTAAATATTCTATACAGCTGTAGGTGGAAACTAGATGAAATCTATTTAAATTTCTTTTCTTAGAATTCCTTAACAGACATTTATAATCAGTTCCTGGCGGCGTTAGAATCGCTGAAAGATTTCTGGGATGCCATGGATGAGATTGATGGGAAGACATGGGTGCTGGAGCCTGAAAATCCCACCCGCAGTGCTACAGCCAGGAGAATTGCAATAGGTATGGAAAGACGTGGAGGAACACAGGGGATTTGAGAAGCAGGACTTGGGGTGCTGCTTCCCTTTGCTGATCTGGTCAGATGGTGCTTGTTAGAGTTAGGAAACTGAAAGGTGGCACCTAGAACCAGCAAGACACAACTCCCTGGTTTTGTGTGTTAAAAAAAATACCAAACCCAAAACAAACCTTCCACAGAATGCTGAACCATTTTGGGACTACAACTTTATGGTTCCACAGGAAAATAGTCTTTTGTGTGTTAAAAAAATACCAAACCCAAAACAAACCTTCCACAGAATGCTGAACCATTTTGGGAAGTTAATTACAACTTTATGGTTCCACAGTAAAATAGTCTGTTTAAATTATGAACAGGTAACTGTCAAAAAACAAGGACTTGCATGATAGCTCTACAAAAATCAGTATTTGTAAAAAATCAGCTTGGATGAAGCCCTTACCTCATTCACAAATTCCAGATTTTTTAACAGACTATTACTGTAGATTAATCCTGCCCTGGAAGAGTGGAAGGAATAGTAGAGTGCAGTCAAAAGGGGATTAAATGAGGCAGGTGGAAAGGACAAAGAAATCAGAGAGGAAATTAGAGGTTTACAGTGTTAACCATCTGAAAAATTACCTTAAATCTTATGCTGATGTCTGGCATTTTAAGTTCTTAATGTGTGTATATATATATATAGGATGAAAAGTCTTGTAACTGCAAAGGAGAAACTTGCCACTGTCAGAGGTTAGGAATACAGAGGGGAATATAATCTTTGAAAGGAGAGTTCTGGGTTTTAGCTTAAATCCAAAATATCAACAGCACATTGCAGAACTCTGAGAACATACAACAGACCAAATTAGCCCTAAGTTGTCCCTGGAACCCGTGGAAAGGGAGATTGCCTGTAGAGTGGAGGAGGAAAGCAGCTAGTGGGGTGCTGAGGCTGCTCCCTCTTTGGGGGTGGAGGGAGGGGCAGAAAAAGTTCAGCAAGTGGCTCAAATGACATGGGTCGGACAGCACTCGTGGGGTTTGTGTGCGTGCAGTCAGGGTGGCTTTATCTTGGTTCTGCTCTACTTTGACACAGCCCACTGAAAAGGAAAGAAAAGCCTCAAAAAGCACCTCACATCAGATCAGCAGAGGGGGCAGGACGAGGCTCTGAGCCCTTTGTTGGCAGTCACAGGCAGTCCTGTTATGACTAAACTTTGATTTCTTTCATTCCCGTTTCTCCAAGGAGAGGCAGCCTCACACACCTCCTCTTAATTACAAAAAATGCTGGGTTTCACCTGTTTTTATTTAGAAGAGAATTCGCTGTGAGGTTTTTAACGTGGACCCAGAACATTTTTGAGCTGCTTACCCCTTATGAATAGCAGAGCTCCTGAGGATGATGGGCTATCCTGGAAAAGAAAAGTATTTGCTATTTCAAAAATATACCATTGTTCACTCAGTCTGGGAGTCTGCTGCAGAGGGAACTGGCTGCTACTGCTTTATATTGTCTTTGAGCTTGTCTTTTTGACTGTAAAATATATGGAGGGATTAATACCAATTAGATTTCTACTGCATTTAAAATTTCACTAAGATTCCAACTGGATTATGTCACCTAGCTCGAGTCTGATTATTCAGAAATAAGTCTGAGTGTTAATGTTAAGGCAAGTCTAAAAGAAATGCAAGACTGGCAGGGTTTGGTTTTTTTCCCCATCAGTTGCTGGTTTCAGTTACAGTCCATTGAAATTTAAATACATAACATATACTGATATGTTTACTACTAATTTGGATACCTACCAACTTTTTGACTATTTATTGTAATGAGAAACAGCATGAATTAACCTATTTAACAGCTTTTTTTTAAAAAAAAAAAAAGGTTAGTATTTCAGTTTTCCAATCCCTGACTGCAAAGACAGCTTCCCCTGTGAGTGATGTGCTCTCGTGGCAGGGAGCAACGTCTCGGTGAACGTGGAGGTGGATCCTCAGCACCCACACATGCTCCCCCAGTGCTGCTTCCTCGGAGCAGAGCACGGTAAGGCAGCAGACAGACACTGCTTGTTTCTCCTCTAGGATCTGCTCTCTGCTGAGCAGGTACCAGGGTGAGCTGTGTCAGACTCCCAGGGTAAGCTTCACATAAGCTGAGCCAGGAATTGAGCTGAGTCTGTGCAGGAGAGTTCTGCACAGCAGATGCTGGGGTCTCTAACAGCCTCACTCCACAGCCTGGTTCTGCTCTGGGAGTGACACGTTTTTCCAGTGCCTTCCTAGCACAGTTTAGAGGGAACCTTGTGTAATACAGATGATCACCCAATTGTGTTCAGATTTTAACATAATTTTCTTTAAAAAAAATTAAAACATGTACTATATCTCTCTCCAAATAGTGTTTGGAAATATTTAAGTCCTTGGCTCCCTGTACCACTGCTTTTCACCAACTTTTAGAAGTCACTGTAATCATCTCTTCACCAGTGTGATATTAGTGTGACGAATTCCCCAAACTAAAATCTAAGAGCAGTCACTGACTTAGGTACTTTAAATAATTTTAGAAACCCAGCCCCTGCCTTGCCCTTCAGTGCTGAAATAGGAGAGGTTAAACGGGGGGTTGGGGAGTGAAGAGGCTCTTGAAGAAGATGTAATTATTTCTGTGTGCTGTTTGCAGTGGTTAACCCTTTGAGAACAAAGCTGAACGCCAATATGCACTTATGGTGAGCATCTTTACTAATACAGGCTGGCAACAAATGGTGTTTGCCATTCCTGGTGTTCACTTTTTCTCTCACACTCTCTCCCACCTGCAGGGATCCAGAAATCAGCCTGTTACAAAACCTGAAAGACCTTTTAGACATTGATTTTCCATCACGTGCTCTGTTAGAAAAAAGCGTAAGTTGCTTTTTGTTAATCACTGGTCGTTATTTCTGAATAAGATTTAAATGGTCACTTTATAATTGCCAGCAAAAATAAGACACTTAGAAGAGAGGTAAATGGATTAATATATTGTCATAAGGACTTCTGAACTTCAAGCAACAGTTGTCGGAGGTTGTTAACCTTTGCTCAGAGGTACTTTCCTGTGGCCTTCATGGCAGCAGGCTGCACTGCTGACAGGGACAGAGGGGGCTCCAGAGCAGCCAACGGGATGGGGAAAACCCAAACAGGCTCTTGTGGACTTCAGCGTTCACTATGCAGAGCTGCTCAGAGGGCACAGGAGGCCATCCAAATGCTGGTGATTTCACACCAAGTTGGGATTCATTTGGCCAGTGCTGTGAGCCTGGATGAGTAGCTGTGCTTGCACTCGTGAAATTTTTAAATTCATACCTGACTGAAGTCTCATGCCTGCTGTCCAAATGTAACAACAAATCATTGTGCTTAAGAAAAAAGAAACAATGGGGCCCAAGAGTATGAAGTGCTTGTCAAACTAGACACAATTCAGTGAGAGGATAAAATACAACCTAGCAGTCTCCTGTGCATCTGGCAACTAGCGTCACTCTTTGTGCTGTAATGGTGTGAACAAATACTAAAGGCAAAAATCTTTAGTAATTCTAACAATAAATGCAAAAGCAAAGACAAATCCTGTGTTGCCAGCCCTGTTTGTCCCTTCCAGTCATCCTGTGAGCTAACACACGTTGTGTTTGAAGGACTTTGCCAAGGACTGTGGGATCTGCTACGCCTACTGCCTGGACGGCACCGCGCCCGACCAGGTGTGCGACGAGCCCCGCTGCGGCCAGCCCTTCCACAGGGCCTGCCTCCAGGAGGTGAGCTCCCTAACGAGCCACACTGCTCATTAGGTAATGCCCCCTTCAGTTTCAGATGCACGAGTCCTTTAAGGACTGCTGCAGCAGCCACTGTGCTGCCTCTTGTCTTCTAACCCACAATTCATTCATAAGCTCCCCGTGGAAGGGAACCTGCCGCTCGTGTCTTGCTTATACCGCCTCTGACTTGACATGCACCATGTCAGCTGTTGATCAAATGAACTCTGTTTGGAAAAACCCCTGGTAATAGATGGTTCTGAAATTTGACATGAAACAAATGCGAATTTTAATCCACTTACTTGTGTTGCAGTGGCTACAAGGTCTTCCTTCTAGCAGACAGAGTTTTAATGTCATCTTTGGTGAATGTCCATACTGTAATAAGGTAAGGAAACCCAATGAAAACAAGTGACTGACCTACATCGTGTGTGGTAGCTTAGGGAAAGGCAAAAACTGCAACAGTCAGATCTAAAACAGAGGTTGTAGCTACTGTGTTCCCTTTACACATTGGAATAAAGAGAGGAAAACTTGAAATTCCCCTGCATTTAACACATCAGTATTTCACCACAGGTTTCCTGAAGCAGTGTAAGACAGCTCCACACCAGTTACCAACCCCCTCCTGTCAGTAATTAATACCACACCCCATAGTACTTCATTACAGTGCTTTAATGTCGCTGTAGCAAAGCTCCAGTTTTAATAAGAGAATCCCAACATTTGTAACACAAACCAATCTTGTACAAATAGTTTAGTGCACACATTGCTAACAAGTGCAGGTTTGGAAAGTTTAAGACAACTTGCCTGTAAAAAGATATGTACTGACAGTATTATTTAAAAACTTTTTTTTTCAAGCCACTGACACTGAAAACTTCAACAAAGAAACTCTGAGAAAAACCCCCATGATGGGAAACACGTACAACAAAGCTGCTGGAACAGTGACATCAGAGAAAATACAAGGAAAGTAATATTAGCAGCAGCAGAACAAGAATAGCTACGCTGTAGTGGGATGTTTTGTCAGTAAAGGCAAGCCTAAGTACAAGAGAGAGGGAAGCAGGGAGGTCAGCACCAGGTTCCTGCAGTGGTGCTGGGTGATCTGCAGGTAAGAGTCGATCGTGTTTTGTTTTGTATTTGGAGAATACGTCCTGGGGGTCAAACAGTGGTAATTCTCTTGCAGGGTCTTTCTGCAGGAAATAAAAGAGATAGTAATAATAAACTTTGTATCAAATAAGTGAGATGTAAACTGGAAAAATTTTCAGTGAAAATTTCAGTAAACTGCAAAAACAAAGATGCCACCTGGGTATTTAAGTTATCCTAGGGAAAGTAATACAATTCTTAAAAAGTCTTAACTCTGGAATTTGCAGGTGTAATTATGTTATATATAAAGTGTGTAACTTTAGGTATGATCAAACACCTTCTAAAGAGACATGCTCTGTGTTTATTACTGAAATCAGCACTGAAATTCTTCTGTACATTTGTTTCTTAAAAAAAAAGAAATGTTACTCAAGTCTTTGCAATGTTCCCACTAATAAAGTTGTAGCCTGGAAACCCCGGAGCCCGAGTCACCCTTTTCATTCCTGTCAGGTTCTGCATTTCCTAGTGAGGGTAACCTGATGGAGCTCAGACAGCACCAATATGTGAGCAGGGTGGGTGGTGTGTGGGGGTATTTAGGCCCCCAGAAGCAATGCCACCCTTAACTGACCTTCTGATCTCAGCCACTGAAAGGATTCCCCAAACACTATGGTTCTGTTTCTCACACATCCAAGATATTACCAAGTTTTCCACTGTCCCTTTGAAAAAAACTCCACCATTGGTTTCCTTTCTGTGATCCCATTCACAATGTTATTTTTTAGCAATACATCCCCCTGAATTTCAACCCTAGCAATATGATTTTCTTGGTGAAAAATTCATAACCTAAATTGTATTCCTCTGATAGAAATTTCCTGTCTTCCTGTTTTATTCCTCTTTGAAATTAATGACAGACATTTTTCTTTTAATTAAATGATACTATTATATCCAACAAAAGCAGCTGCTCATAGTTTTTTTTTTTCTTCTCTGCTTTTATTATTTCCATATTATTTTCTAGACTTCCTTGTTCTTTTTCCCCAGTTTGTTACCTGTCCTACTCCTCTTGGTCAGGTGTTCCCCTTTCAGCATGGAACTCCTGGATTTAGTTTATACCTGAGCTGTGAACTGCTCCCAGCAGCATCTTAGGAAGCAGACCCACCCATTCTTTCCCCCAAGATCAGCCAGAGAGACTGAGAACTGTGTCTCCAGCCCATGAGCTGCACCCCGTGCTGCTGGTGGCAGGGTGGAGGTGTCCCAGGCAGAGCGAGGGGCCTGCAGCCAGCTCCTCCAGGCAGCTGCCCTCTGGGGAACGCCTGGCAGCCTCTCACCACTCCAGCTCCTGCATGAACCACTCTTCTTCTCCTTCCTCGTCCCTGAAGGATCCTTCTGAATTTTCATAACCTGAAATCTCTTCTATAGCTTTCCTTTACCCATCTCTTAAATTATGTGAAAGGAATAGAGAGGAAGTCTGCAAAATGAAACTAATACAATCCTGCCTCTTCCTTCTCCAGTTTCACATTTGAATATCTTAAATGTTATCTGACATCCATTTTAACTCTCCCCTGTTATGCATAAAATTCACTGAGTACCACAGAACTATTCTACATGGATGCAGCATTTTGAATTATATTGGAATAGCAGCTTCTCCTTTAGGAAGACTAAATCAAAACAAATATAATCTAGACCTGTGTTTGGTCTCTCCTCTGTACACACACGTTTTCTCCTTCCTCCCAGAAGGAGGGAAACACAAACCCCCAGGTCACTCTCCAGTGTCAGGACCTCCACCCAGACTGGGCACTTGCCCTTCAAGTACATGGGAAGTTACACCAGCACTCTTCTTTCCTGCATCATGTTGGGAACCTCAGTGTTCCACATCTGCTTCCTTCTTAGGCTACTGTGGCCTTTACACAAAATAAAAGGAAGTAGGCTGTCTTTTATATAAGTTAAATTTTATACCTGAAGATCAGGAAATACCACTGGAACATCATCTTACTACAAAGTTGTATTTGGTAATTTGAGTAAATGTTGTGCCCGGGCTCCAGAGACTTTTCAGACTCTGTCTACCTCGCTATCAGCCAAAACATCTCCAAAGTTTGTTCTGCTCACCACTTTCCTGCCTGATGCTCTCAGGTACAGCTGTGCTTTTTCTGCTTCTCTCTCCTAGCTTCTACCCGAGTCTCCCGGCAGTGCTCAGCAGACTGCTTAAAGCAAAGGATTGTGGATTAATAATGATGAAGCTATCTACATTTTGTATTAGAAACTGCTCTCATTTAACATGTTATTTTTCTATATGAAAACAAACCAAGGTAGAATCTCTTAGTTAAAAATACACTTAAACTCAATGGAAAAGGAGCACAGTGTGATTGCTAAGATGTACTTGATTCTGCATTATTTTTACTAAAACCTTGATTAATTTTTTCATCGATTTTTTCACGTACAGCTGAAGAGTAAGACTGAATTACCAAGAATATTGGAGGTGAGTTAGTTAACGACTAAAATCCTCAGATTAAAAAGTCAGAATTTAAAAATTTCAAGTTTCCTACTGCGCAGAAAAGGAAACTACTGAAGTTTCCACCAAGAAAACACAGAGTCCACAGAGGGAGACTTATTTCCCAGCACTTCTGCACCCTGGTGCAGTGCTCAGTGTTGTGCTTTAAACCAAGCAACAAAAACACTGGGGCGGCAGTCTGCTAATAGTACAACCAAGCAACTACACACATCTCATTTACATACATTTAGTTAAGCTTTGTGGTGCTGGGAGGGGTTTATTTTAAACCCTTATTTTCAGAAAAGCCTGGTTTTCTTCCCCAGGGTGCCATGACTGTTGTAAGGTAACTCCAAAATCCTCACCTGTCGTGGGTGCTCCGGGTCCTGCACCTTGGTGTAAAGTGGGAGTGGCTTCTCTTCAGCCTGGCGCTGCCGGCGTGTGCCCCGGGCACGGGGCCTGCTGGGGCACTGGGCTTCCTCCTCTGCCACCCTGCCGGGCCTCTGTGCCACCGGGGGGCAGTGACCCCGCTCCTGTCCAGGCACTAACTCTGGATGCTGAGGAGAATTCAGGAACGTTCAGCATTACCACAGGTGCCACTCCTTGGGCCTGTCAGGGCCCTGTCTGCACCTACCCCCCAGGCTTACAATAACCCCTCAGTTTTCTCTTTGGAATAACACCAGCCAGACAGCACGTGCCAGCTTGTGGCTTTTTTCTCTTCCTTGCCCACCCCAGAAGGTGGACGTTGAGTTAACAGAGCAGGCAGACTCCCAGGGGACACCACCTACTACTGCACCACCCAGGCCCTCACCTGCTGAGGCTCTGTCTGCTGAAGCATCCTGTTCAATTTATTTGGCTTGTTTTCATCCTGGAGCTGCTTGCTCGTTACCCCTGCACAGGCTTTGTTTTGACAGACATATTCTTCCCCTTCCACCTTTCTTTGCTTCCGCTGAGCTGGTTTGGGCATGGGCTTTGGCAGGTGAACCTGTTGAGGCACAGGGAAAAGAAGTCAGTATTCCAAAAAGAAACATGTCCCACCTTCAGTACCAAGGACACAGAGTGGGAGTGAGGGTTTTTTCTTTCTCAAAAGAACTGTTTTCAGGATTTTCCTTTTCAATAAACCTCACCCTCACACAGTACAAAGTTGGAGCTCTGCTGTAGTTGGGAAGTGTGCTGTAAAATAAAGGCAAGTTGTAGATTTCAAAACATTCACTAATACCATTTATTGGGAAAGCTGCCAAAAAGTCACTGCTCTGTCACCAAGCAGAGCCCAGTTCATGGCACTGCAGGGAGTCAAACTCCCTACAGACTCACCAGGGCCTCTGACCTGGGGGTCTACATTTAAGAGTTAAGGTTTATATTGTTTTACAGCCTTCTAAAATATAAATGGTTGGGAAAGCTGCCAAAAAGTCACTGCTCTGTCACCAAGCAGAGCCCAGTTCATGGCACTGCAGGGGGTCAAACTCCCTACAGACACTCACCAGGGCCTCTGGCCCGGGGGTCTACATTTGAGTTAAAGCTTATATTGTTTTACAGCCTTCTAAAGTATAAATGGGGGAAGAGATGGTGAAGAACTGTAGGAATGAATGCACGTTTTCTCCAGTGCAGATCGAAGCAGGAAGCACCAAGTGATGTCTGCTTTTGGCTTTTGGAGCTTGGAAGACAAACGTAGCCAAAACACAGGCTGCATGCCACATGCCTTTGGTACTTCTGGCACACTAATGGCTTGCTAACTGCAACGCTTGCATATGGGCCTGGATGCAGCAGCTGTATCTAAAAAGGAAATAATGGGCTTCTGTTTTATCCTGCAAATTAAATATGGACTGGGGATGGAAACTGCACAACCTGAACACCAGTGGAAGCGCCAGCAGGTGCCTCCTATGCTGCTTAACCCAAAACCTGTTAAGAACATACACCGTGGCTCTGCTCTGTGAAATTCTTAACATTGAGAAGGGTAAAGGGGTAGCTGAACAACTGAAACAGTTTCCAGCAGGCCCCTGGAGACAGAACACCAACAGAGGTGCCCACCACACAGGAGCTGTTTCTCTTCTTCACAGCTCACTCTGGTCTCTTCACTTCACTGACTACCTCACTTTCCAAACAGGACACACAGCACTTGGGAAAATATTCCTTTTATGCCTAACAATCACCATATTCCACTCTAATAAAGATTGCAGGTTGATATTGATGTAATTATGCCTTAATATGCAATGTACAAAAGGCAGGGAGTCGTCAGCTGGGCTCACCATGCTTCATTTGGCCCCAATGCTCAGTCCTTTCACTGCAGGTGAGAACTGGAAAATATTTACCTGGCGCCAAAAACCATGGGAAACAACTCTGAGAATTAACACAATTAATATTCTATCACCTACGTTTGGTGTGCAATTAAAACAAAGAACCAGGCTGTAGCCACTGCTCTGTTATTATGCACCTTCTGCAGCGACTCCTCCTCACATCATCCAGGAGCTAGTGTGGCACAATCCTCTTACTGGTCCCTACAGATGTTTACTGGTCTTCAGAAGGGGATTAACCCCAAATCCCCTCTTCCCTGGGCACCAGACTGGCACGGGTGGGATCACAGGTCATCTGCAGTCAGGCCCTGCTCACAAGCAGGACGTGAGGAGCCAGTGGGTTGTTTGTAGTGGCTCCCACTATTCTCAGGTTGCCTCTTTAATGGGAGAAGTGTTTGGTGAATAAAAGGAGAGGTGGGAAGGGAATGCAGAGAGGAAAAGAGCCAGGCCTGGGATAACTACAGACAGTGCTGTCAGGAGATCAGTGGCAAGTGCCCACCTGTCAGCCAACACTTTGTCAGGGCCAGAGCACCAAAGTGCACCAGGCCTTGGCTATCCTCCACAGCCAGTAACTACAGACAGAAACCCCAGATTTTCTGAAAATAACAGTAAATTTAGAGAAAGTTCAATTACTTGCACTCTCTACTAGTTTTTCAGTGCTCTTGAAGTCCTCTGAATAACCCTAGATATTTCTGCAGCTGTTTTGCAGGGAACATTGCAGGAAACTTGCACATGTAAGCAGCAGAACTGGCTGAAGGAATGTACTCCAGTCACAAACAGGTGATCACTGGAGCAGTGCTCAGCATTCTCACTGTTCCAAGCAGCAAGACACTCCACATGAAAAATTTCTCTGAAAAAGTGATGACAGGTGCCAAGATTTAGTAATCTGCAGACACACTCTCATTCTCTGATCTTGTTCCTGGCCATCAAAACCAATCTTGTGGAGTCCTACAGCCCAAGAGTGGTGATAACTGGTGCTCCTCACCCACAGGCTCCTCAGCAGGGTGCCAACAGGAGTGTTCCAGCAGCTCTCACAGCTGGCCAGGGCAGGACCAGCCCTTACACCAGCACAGCACCAAGCCTTAGGCCAGGCAATCAGAGCAAAATAGATTTACTCTTCACTGTCTGATGCTGAGAAATCGAAGACTTTTGCCAACCAGAGATCTGACAGGATCAGCTGGAGATCAGTTAACAGCTACCTCATCTTTCCATTCAGCTCAAAAAAAAAAAACACTTAAAAAAGCTTCACAAATCAGCGAGGACAAATCAGTCACCATCACAGCGAGAGAAATGCTGTCCCCCAAACAGCTTCTGGTCCTGCTAAAAGAAAAATAAAGTGATAAACCCAGAGAAGTCAGTGAAATTGTTAAAATAGGGATCTGTAATTACCCAGATCAAAACCCAGTGCCTCTTTATTAAACATGAACTTTTGTGCTGCCTCCTGCAATACGTAAATAGTGCTGACAATTGGTTTGTGAGGCACTTGCTACAATAAAATGTAATTGTATCATGAGAGAAAGGTGACAATCAGGAGATCATGAAAAAATTACATATTCTCACTGGTGGTTAATTAGCCATGCAAAACCCCCTCAAACAGATATTCTCTTCTATTAGGAATGATTACTATGCAGGCCTACAGATGTCAATACCACAGTCATTCAAATACTTCTTTCCCTACTAATTGAAGGTTGTAAAGCTCTGGTGCCAAGGTTTTGCTTCCAAAGAGCTAATTTATGACTAGAAGGATATTTTATGTCTTCAGTTGCAGCAGCTACAAAACTCAGCAAATCAGAACCATCTGTGCACTGATACTTGAATCACCATTCATCTAGCAGCCTATCAGTCACATTAGTTTGCATCCTGCATTCTTGGCTCACGTACACTTGTGATGGTCCAAAGTTCACCAGAAATATTCAAAAGGAAGGGTACCCTGACCCTGCCTCACTGCACACACCCCCCAGACAGGGACAGGGCTTCTGCATCCAGGCAGCTTGCAGGCAGAGGGATGATGGGACTGACATTTCCCAGCAAGTCCCCTACAACTGCTAACTACCTTAATCTCCACTGATCAAAACACAGCTTTATTAACTTTAGGTTCAAACTTAAAAGTGCAAAAGGAAAACATAACACCATAGGTGTCAGTTCTAGAATTCTGTGTGAATGCACCAGAGTTAAAGCCCAGAACAATACCTCCTCCACGTCAGGGGCTGCAGCAGCATAAAGGCAAATGACAAAGAGCTCTTTCAAAGAGAGAAAATGAATTAAATGCTTTCACTAATAAAGGTAACTCTGCCTTTCATCTGGGCCGAAGGAAAAACCTGGCATGAGGGCTCCTCTTCAAGATGTTGGTGAACAAAGTCCTTGACTTCCCTGTTCTCCTGACACTGAATCCCTCTCAGAGCCACCGCTTTGAAGCCAGAGGCTGGAGGTCAAAAGGCCTCGTGGCAGCTCTTCCTCCTTAAGGGTTCACGTCCTACCTCTTAGCCAAGCCAGGGGAAACAGGAACTAACAAACATGGTGCAGCTAAGGCAGAGCTGCTGCATCAGCCTGGTTTTGAGCTCTTGAGCTGTTTGCTCCTCTCCAGAGGAGGCAGCAGTGGCAGAGGGGAGGTCAGGGGTGCTCCCAGGACTCACCGCACGGGGATTCCGCACGGCGGAGAACTCCAGAGCCCCGTCATAGAGGGTTCCACTGGCCTCCAGCCCAGCCAGCAGCATCTTCTTCAGCACTTGATACTTCGGCTTCTCATCGTAAGCTAAGCCAGAAACACACACCAAGAACTTGGACAGTTCACCTGCAGGGGAGATTTTAATGTGAATTTCACTTAGTGCAGACCTAGAAAGAATTTAATCCCACAATGGGTGCCAATCCTACATTGCCAAACAAGATGCCACAAGTTCAGCTGAAGACACACTCAGAACTTACAGCAGCTTGTCTTTTTGAGCTGAGAAAAGGAATACCCAGACTACTTCACTGACAAATATTGACAGTTCTGTGTAACAGGCATTTTATATTTTATAGATCATAGCACCCCTTTAAATATTAACTACTCTCAACTAACTATTTTCATCTGCATAGATATTATACTTTGGAGAAAAGCAACTTTGTTTTTACTTCTAATACTCAGATATTGGTGTTGAGATTACATCCTAAAACAGTCTAAGAGCAGCATTATTTTGCTACCATTATTGAGTGGTTCTAGAAACAGGGAAATCACTGAATGGGCAGAAAAAATGCTACTAGGAAAAACACATGGTAAGCACCAAACTTTTCTTCCAGTTGAAGACCCAAGTGTATCCTAAAACTAGAGTACTACGCCAGATATTAGCATCTGGTGAAATCCCAGAAGTCAGGATTTATTAAATATGTATACACATTGTGAATATATTTCATGTAATAGATGATGCATTCCAATAATTCCAGTGCAGAAATGCTACGAAAAGAAGGAATAAATCAAAAATAGATACTGACTTCTGAAGGCAGTTTGGTGTTTTCCCTGGGTTACTTTTGTATTTCAGTGAAGGAAGAAACATCTGACCAAGAGAAAGCATCCACTCATTTGCTGTTCCAGGCTCTGCAGACCAAGCAATAAACCTTTTGTGGACAGTTGGTTTCCATTTGCATACTAACAGGTGCTTTTGTTTCTGCCAGTCACTGCAGCCTCACACCCGGGTTACACCTGGCCAAGATCCTTCATGTCACACATCACAGATGAGACTGATCAACATCTTAACACTGGGGTTGAGAGTTTAGGCCTCGGTGTCTATTTTATCTCCTTCCTACTTGTCAATGGGATGGATAATGCAGAAAGCAGCAGAGGAAAGAGTCCCTGCAATCAAAGCATTCAGTACCCCCAGCACCCCACAGCAGAAAGCATCAGGAGCTGGTTATTGCAGTCACCAGCACTTGACAGCGTCCAGAAGTTTACCTCCTCCCTCAACATTTGAAATGGAAAGACCTAGTTAGACTTGCATGACTTTTCCTCACCTTCTGCTTCCCCCAAACAGAGGAAGACATTTAAGTGCTTCTTGTAACAGGCTAGAGAGCTCTGTGGTACACAGTGCAAGCACACTTACTACAGCTCCTTCCAGAAGGATCCCATTCCAGCACCGACTCTGGGAGCTCGTCCATAAGTCTGCAACAACATGAAAGTGCAACAATTTAATGTGGTTTCAGAGCAGGTGATTCTTCATTTGGGATTTAGGAAGACAGCAAGTCTCAATTCCAAAGGGAGTGGACCTCCGGGAGAGCTAATGATTCACAGTACTGCTTCTAAACCAAAATCTCCTCTTGCCAGCTACATTTTTAACCCTTTGGAGACTGCTGATTTCACCCAGACCAGGCTTACAGCTAAGCCTGCACTTTAAGTTTTTCTTTGCAGATGTTTTAACCTTGCCAATAAGAAAAATCCTTTGAGCTGGAATGGCTTGTTCTGATCTCAGCTTCATGATTAATATCTGTATTCTGGAATTTAAGTAGTTCTGGCCTGCCTACTGGTCATCAGGTAGCACCAGGTTCTCTCTGCCACACAGCTCGTGGGCAGCAGGGTCATGGCTGTCAAAGTTACAAGCAGGCTGGGCAGAGAAAGGGGCAGAGGGAGGTTAAACCACCTCAAGCCCCTTGCACTTCACAAACTGAAGGGCAGGGCCACAGATGTACTTTCTATCCAGAAACAAAGGACACTGGAGCTCAGAATAAAACATACCCTAAAAAGGGATGCAGGAACACCAAGAGGGAGGTTAAACCACCTCAAGCCCCTTGCACTTCACAAACTGAAGGGCAGGGCCACAGATGTATTTTCTATCCAGAACCAGCAAAGGACACTGGAGCTCAGAATCAAACATACCCTAAAAAGGGATGCAGTAACACCAGCTCCCATCTTTTGTGGGCATGAACCAGGAGGATCTCCTGGCACCTGCAGGGAGCTGCACAAGCCCCTTTGCCCCCAGCAAGTGAAATCTGCTACAAACCCCTTTGCCCCCAGCAAGTGAAATCTGCTGGTTCAGTCTCACTGTCAATACTCTTCAAGGGTCCCTTTAGTTTATTTGTTCATTTATAAGAGCCATAAAGCTCCACCAATGAGCAGCAGGATGTGTTCCCACATGCAGAAAGCCAGGATGTACAGGCCAGCCATCCTCCAGTCACTCATCTGTTGTTTAGGATCAGAAACAAGCGTTTCAATTTGGCAGAAATGAAACATTTAAACAGAAATGTATTCCTGTATGTCTCAAATTCCAATTCAAATGGAGCCTCTCCTCCAATTATGGTGTGGCACAACCACTTCTAAACTCACATCTACCACCAGTCCTCAAATACCTCCAAAGCTTTGGCACAGCTGCCCCATTGTCCCAGCACCACTGAGAGGAAAGGCCAAGAAACTGCAGTGAAGGGATGGGAGGACAGGACAAATGGTGAGCAGCAGAGCTGGAGGTCCTGCCCTGGCTCCTGCCTCTCCACTGCACCCCAACCTTCCAGGCCCAGCCATCACACAGGCTCTGCAGCAAAGGACTGGCACACTCAGAAGTGGTTCAGTTGTGCTGCTTAATGTACTTATCCAGTTGCTTACAAGTTAATATGTGCATATATCTGGGTTGTCTACTTCTGGCCTTCTTAAACAGCAGAGGCACTGAAAATTCAGCTAAATAAAAGGGGACAACCTGGGCAAGTCACCTAATACCACAAATGCAATTCATTTGACTGACAGGATATTTCTGATAAATGGAATCTGCATCATTTTCTGTGCATTTCCTCACAGCATCTGTTTGCTTGGCACCTTGAAGAAGCTAGGAATCCAAGGGTTAACTGCAAGGGAAGAATTAAGTGAAGCAGCTTGATTGATTAAATTGATTTAACATTGAATTGTATAAGTGTTACCTTGCAGGGGGCTGTGTAATGATCAGAACTTCTAAAGGAGAAATATTAAACATAACATGGGATGTCAACATTTACAGATGCAATCTGTATTATCCACAGGCTGCAGACTAACCTCTCTCTCTGCTGAGAGCCCATGCCACACTGCATTTGCAGATTGATTTCTGTGGATCAGCTATCCCTATTGTGTACCTCTGTTGTGACTTGCCCTACTTAAAAGTTTGCTGCCTTCTCCAATTGTGATGTTATGTTTCTGGGTAACTACTGTATAGCCTTCCACAGGCTACACTGTACCACATGCAATTAACTCTCTCAAGTCCCAACTGTGAAAGCAGAGAAAGAAAACACTAATACACTCTGCTGCTTTAGTAAGCTCTAAATGAGTCACGCTGGGAAAAAGGAGAGATTTTAATCAACTTCCTTAGTATTCTGGTATTTAATTGTTTGTAATGGCAGTAGGCTTATAGAACATGGAAAAACCTGCATAAAAACAGCTGAAAAATAGTCTCATACAGAAAGTGAAATAAATAAAATGCACATGTGGAAAAACTTCCAAGAGATGTCTCTACAAAGCACCCGTGAAGTTTAATGGGAAGACACAACAACCTTCTGTGTGTGCAATAAGGCCTCCACTAAGTCACAAGTGTTTGCCTTGGAAAAAAAATATGAAAAAAATACACAGCAGACAAAATGACTGTGTGCTGTGCATTTGGATTTGCCTCCTCTCTACAGTAGTACACACAGAAACACGTGGAAGAGGATATATATGCACAGAGTGCACATTCTGAACTGCTTCTAACATCTCCCTTAATTAAGGAAAATTGTTTTAGCTTTCTTGTAAGGTGCTATTCTACAGCATGCAGAGCTGTGTCCTCCAGGCCTGTCTGGGTAAGTGAGGAGGACCTTGCAGGGCTCCGAGGTGGTGATGTGTGTGCACATGTGTACATGTGTGTGTGTGGCTGCATTTTTACTTTGTTTTTGCAGTCTGGACAGCTACAGGGTCCTTCAGGTTCTGTTCCCAGGGCAGCTTCCCACACAACCATTGCAGCATGCAGTAGCCAAGGATTTCAAGGTCACCTCGTCTGGATGGGGCTAAAATGTGGGAAGGGAGGGGGGAAGAGGGGAAAAAAAAAAGAAAAAAAAAAGATAAAGAATAAGAACTTCTTCTTAAGAAATAGAAAAGACTTTGATTGAACTAGTGTTGATGAAATATGAAAGAGCCAAATGGGCAGAGTGTTTTGTTTGTTCAGCTGTAGGGGACCTCAGCCGCCCGGCGTTTGGCCACAGTCCACAGACAGGCAGTGACTTGTTACTGCTCAAGTAAGGGTCAGTTTCCTCACCTCCTCCAACTTCATCCTTCCTCAGTCTGGCCTGTCACATGGACTTGATCCCCATGGCCTCTGACATGATCCAGACAGCCCATAACCCAGTACCAACACTTTCTCAAAGAGCCAAGCAGTAAAACAAAGAAATAAATGTCTGCTGCTAAATTGCTAACACATGTTCCAGGAAGTCCATGGGGTCCACATTGGTCATGCAGGGACCCTGTGAGTGCAGACTAAACACTGATGGCCTTTCCTGTTCTCCTGCTGAGCTATGTGAACCTGAAGATATGACAAAACTGCCATCTAGTGTACACTCACACACCACCAGCTCTGCTCACAAGCACCACGAGCCCTTCGTTCAGTCACACCCCAAGGTAAAACACTTGCTGCTCAGCAAGCCCTCTCTAATGATGGCCTTTCCTGTTCTCCTGCTGAGCTATGTGAACCTGAAGATATGACAAAACTGCCATCTAGTGTACACTCACACACCACCAGCTCTGCTCACAAGCACCACGAGCCCTTCGTTCAGTCACACCCCAAGGTAAAACACTCAGCAAGTCCTCTCTAAACTTACCCTTACTGCTTCCAAAAATGAACCTACTGCAGGCACAACTTCCTCTCACTCTGCACACCCCAAACAGATTAACTACAGAAGATAAACACAGTAGATGTAATTCATTCAAAAATTAACCTTATCCCCAAACATCTTCTATGCAGGAAAACAGGTAACTGAAGCTGATCTATAGATTGACTTTTCTAAGAGAGAGAGGGAGGGGAAAAGGTGCAATGCTGCTAGAACTGATACTGCTTGCTGCTACTCAGAGGAAACCAAACCTGAGAAAACTGAACAAGCAATAATTCTTTGTACACATTTGATTTGCAGCCTACAGTTTGCAAGTCAAGACCACGTGGAATCTGCAAAACTGCAAACTGTTAATCATGATTAAAGACAGGCAGATGTAGGAGTTCAATTTATGCTTTTCCAAAATGAATTTTCACTTTCCAGGAAGGAAAGAAGATTTCAGATTTGTTACCTTTTTGCCTAGTGTAAAGACTAGTAGTCGAGCACGGTGCTGCTAATCCAGCTGTAAACAGATATCACATTTTATGGGCATTCATTAAATAAATTCCAGAAAGTCACTTGGCAAACTTATCTTTTCATTGAAAAAGTCATCTGCTAAAAGCTACAGTGCCAACAGATCATCACTGTGCCTTGTAACATGGCTGTAAAAGCAGCAGCTTTGCTCTGGTGCCTTCTCTCTCAGCTGCTATTAGACATGGGGATTATTAAAGGCCCCTCAATCTAACAGAATCTACACCATCCCCTGGGCCTCGTTTGTTTCCTGCCCTGAATTCAGCAGCCTCCTAATGCAAGACTTGGCTCTTGTATTAAAATAAAAACACAATCTCTACCACTTGCTGTTCTGTAGTGATTTCTTCAGCCATAAATCTGCTGTTAAGTGTGGAACAATTCCACTGGTGCCCATGCATTCACAACTCCTTTTGCCATGATGGCAGTTCCAGGTTCCCACCACGTGCCCCAGCCTGTTTGACTGGGGATCCTCTGATAGTCACACAATGCTCTTCTGACACCTCCCTGTGGAAGATGGGCTACAGGAAGTGGCTTTTTGAGGAAAAAATTGTCAAAATTACACTGGGCTGCTTTTTTCCACTGAGGGACTAATGGATATGACCCTGGAAATAATGCTGAATCAATTAGATTGCATAAGCTCACAATGATAACTTGTTTTCTCAGAAAACAGTCCCCAGAGAGTAAAGTTTACTCCACCACTAGCAGTCTGGTTAGTGACACCACGATTAACATGAGGGCAAAGCCACCACAAACAGGGAGACTTAATCTTTAATAAATTAATATTATCTATGAACAGTGGAATAATTAGATTTTCACCTCAAATAAAATCCTGATCCATGAATTTCAACTGTGTTTACTTGCAAAAAAATCTGTTAATACAATTGGAGAGTACAAGAATCTTGATAAATATCAACTGAGAGAAGTAAATCTGGCTTCATTTTAAATGTGATAGCCATCCAAAAATGAAATGATTCTGCTTGATGACTTGCCACTGTTACAAGAGCATATATTCAAAATTTTTAAATCAAATTTTTACTTCTCAGTAGACTAAAAACTTGTTGGCTGTTATTTTTTTCATCATTCCTTCTTTTTAATAGATATTTGATTTCTGCTTTTTCTATTAACCAGGAATTTTTTATTATTACTTCAGTCTCCTATAAAATACTATTTAATGGGAAGATGTTGGTGATATTTTATTTCACAATATTTTTTATAGTTTAAGTTCTTAATTTGAAGATTTAAGGCCTGATTCTGTCCTCACTCCTACCAAGATAAATCAGGAACAACTTCACTCAAGCTAATGAATTAACAGCCATGTCAATGAAATCAGAGTCAGGCCATAAGTTTTACAGACACCACTAACACACACTCAACATGCAGGCATGGGGTTCAACAATAACTCAGAAGAGTCAAACTGAAACAATTCTCCCTGAAAAAAATATTACTATTTCAAAACAGATGATAAATGATATCACACTGCCCACAATATGCTCTCAAAACTACACTGCTCTCAAGAACTCATCTGAAACCCACACAAAAAATGGGAGTTTTCCTCACTGGCCCTTATTAAGTTAACTTTCTCAAGCCTTTTGTAAATATTTAGGAGACTAACAAGTGATAGATGAAATTCAATTATTTTTAATTAGCACTGTTACATTATAATTCCACCACTAGCGCTGCTTTAGATTGGAAACTTTTCATAAAAAGGATCATTTTAGTTGCTCATAGTGCATCTTGGTGCAGTGGAACCTGCAGCTCTCACTGGCATCACAGCATACAAACTCATGTTCCTCCACAAACAGACAGAACTCTTGCCATAGCCATGAATCCCAAAGCCCATACAGGAAAGGAGTGTCAACATGACCATGGAGAAATAGAATTATGTTAGAAAATCATCATCAGGGGATGACATAGGCAGGAGAAAAGATAAAGCTGATAATGAAGTATTGCTTCCCTAAGGTATGGTCAGTCTGAGGAGTTCTCTGCAGCAGGACAGGGACTGAGTAGAGTGGGTGGCTATGAAGAAAAGGTTAGAAGAATACAGTTAAATATAGTGACATTTCTGATAAACATGAAAGTCTGGAGGGCACTCCATACAGTTATCCCAGCAGGGAGGCCAGCAGGGGCCAGGAGCAGTCTCCCCTCCCCTCAAGCTCTGCACCATCACCTTGGCACACTGCTGAAGTGCCTCCTGACAAGAAGCACCCCCAGGGAATGCTGGGGAGAAAAAGGCAGAGCAAGTGGTGCCACCAGAGCTGGAGTCCAGCTCCTCCAGAGCTCACTCAGCCTGGGACACAGCACCGAGCCACGGTCCCACTCCTGAACTCAGCTCCTGCAGCTGCACACTGAGCTGAGCACCACCCAGCCCACAGGGCTCCCTGGGATCCTCACATCTCTCCAGAAGAGCAGAGCTCTCCTCAGCCACCTCCAAACCAGCAGCACACTTCTCTGGTGACCAACAGGATCTACCTGCTGCATCCTCACTTCCACACTTGCTCTGCTGCAGCCCTCACAGATGAGTGCAGCCAGCAGTGGGATTCTCCTCCAGGTATGGAATAATCAAGACTGGTGGGATGGGATGAGCTGAAAGAATGATGAGCTAAAGAGGGCCAGGGTCCTGATGTGGTGGAGAGAAATTTATGTAGTGGGAAGGTTGGAAGATGTGAGGGAACTTCACCATGTGATCTGGGTGGGAGAGAAAGTGGTGGTGGCAAAAGGTGGAGGTACCTGGTCGGAAGCAAAAGGTTCCAGGCTTGCAGTAAGGAGAACATGTGGCAGGAGAGTGGGGACAGGAAGTTTTACTCTTCTTTCACATCTGTGGCAGAAAACAAATCACAAAGGTAAGGGGCTGACAAGTAGGGGCTGGCAGCAGCCGTGAGGTTCACTAACTTTTTGAATTCCTGGTGTAGAGAACAAGAACCAAAATTAAACAGCCAGCTCCCAGCCACACTCATCAGGAGTACTAGGAAGTTGTGGTGCTGATCATCTTAGTTTTGCTGCTTCTGGTCATTGAACATAGGAACCTGTTCAAGTTTTCCTTGCTAAAGCCCAACTCTTCTTTCGCTTACAATGACCTCCTGCCCCCTCTTCTGCTGGGCACACACTTCTAATCCAACACTCAGAAACTAAAACATCTTTTTATTTATCTCCCATTGCAAAGTTCCACCCATTTTTCACCAGACCTGTTATATTTTCCTTTTATTTTTAGGATTTACACTTGTCCTGCACACAGTCTTTGGGAAACACGTATCAAACTGCAGCAAATCAATAATTCATTTGACCAACAAAAAAATCCAGCAGGCTGAATCTTAACTGTACATGGACAGGTGCCAAATAAACCTCTTGATCTAGAGCCATTCAGAGCTCTGTTCTCTGCAAGCCATGCAGGCTCAGAAAAAGTAAGTTTCCAGGCACAGGTGTTTATATTCTTGCACATCCTTCCTCACAAAATTAACCCTGCATATATTCCAGTCAACCCCTGCTTTAAAAGAACAAGAAAAACAGGCCAGCATTGAGCTAGGTTTTTAATATCAGGCAGCAACAGTTCTGTCAGAAGTGGGGAAAACAAGAGCAAGGACTGCAGAGCTTTCCCTGCAGTCAGCCCAGTGCCTCCACTGCCCTGTACAAACTCAGACCTCAGGAAGCATGTTCTGCAGTAACCCCACACGAGGGGCACAAAGAAGTGGTTAGAACGTGGCATCAAGCACAGCAGCAGCTGCCTTCCCCAACAGAGAAGAAAAAAAAACCAAATGCACTCATTTCACCTTGTTTCAAACACAAAACCAGCTCAGAACCTGGTCACCAGCTACAAAAAAAAATAACCAGTGGGTCTCACTGAGGTGAGCATCATCAGACATGCTGCTTATCACTAAGCCTGTCAAAAGTCACCACTATTGTCTAAAGCAGCTTTTACTATTCCAGAAGTTCTGCAAGCATTTCAGCAGGCCCTCTACTCAGTGAAGAGGTGGCAAAACTGCTGCTAATCCCTGTGAAACATTGCTGAAAGAAGAGGAGAATCATCTGGCCATCTATGGCAAACACAAGTGTAAGCAGGAGGGAATTCAACACAGACAGTTCATACTCTTTATGTTCATCAATGGCAGCAAATTAAAACTGGTCTTACGCACTCAATGCACAGGACTGGAGTATTTAAAAAAAACTCAATATGTTAAGCACAGTATATCTCCAGAGAAATTAGGTATTGACTGCATGCCTCAGTGAGTAGAAAATCTACAAAAATCCATAGAAGGCATTGATCCAAATATTACTTTTTAACACTAACTATGTAACAATTTTTTAAACGCACACAGGCTGCAGATATAATTCTCTTTAATTATCAATCAACAAACAAAACTGTAACACTGTTTATACAGTGTGGTCTTTAAAAATGAATACCAGGGATACACTCAAAGACTACACTAAACCAATGCAGTTGTGCATTGTCACATTTGCATCACAATGAAAAGCTTTTAAGTTTAAAGACCTGCTGGTTGCAGTGAGATGCAGCCACCAGATAGAGGAATGCTGATGGTGTGGGTCAGATCCCAGGGCAAAGCCCAGTCCAGGGCCCTGTCTTGGTTCAGAGGGACCTCTAGACATATAGAGGGGATGGAACTGAGGTTGCAGTGGTTATCTGCAGACACCCAACAAGTCTGGACGCCCCCAGGCAGCACCACAGCAGCCTGTGGGGCCCACACACCCTGGGCAGAGCAGAGGTGAGCCAATGAAAGGCAAAAGCAGCATGAAAAGCCAAGACTCGAGGTAGGGCAGCTGCTCCCCCCAGCCTTTCCCAGCTCAGGGGGAATTCCTCTTCAGCTCCAGCACAAAGCCACCAGCAGCACCAGTGTACACCCTCACACACTGAAGTAACCTGAGGCAGCCACCAGCTGCCACACGAATGCCACGTCCAGCTCAGCCTTACCAGAGGCTGTCAGATGAATCTAGACTGATTTTATAACCCAACAGTGTCACCATACAGGGGCCACTGGTGGGAAACTTTCTGTGTCTCAGTGGACTGCACAACTCCACAGAGAGCCTGGGGAATAAAGAGCCATGCAGCTGGGTTAAACTCTCAATTCAAGCAGGGAAACACCAGTGCTGATTTAACCTAGTGGGAAGTGGTTGGCTTTATGCAGGCAGGTCATCAGCTTCGAGCATCGCCAACAGGCACTTCTGAAAGCAACAAATTCATAATTTTCTTTTAAGTTTCAGCATGCACCTCAAATTGCTGTACATATTTCAGGTAGCTCCTTTATGAGCAGGACAAAATGTTCTCATTGGTCTAGCTCCAGACAGCAACTGGTATCACTCAGGGGTTTTGAATTCTGAGATACTTCTGTTGCTACATACATTCAAGAAATGTCCTCTGGAAAGGATCTCATCCACAGCAAATAACATTTAAAAATTAGAACTATATTCCTACAGCACTGAAATAAAAAAATTCTCCACTCTGAAAAATTGGGTAAGACCAGAATGAAGGCTGCCTGTGCAGCTTCAATCTGCCAACACTGAAGCAGCTTTTAAATGCCTCAGAAGAGCACATCACTTGGTACATGAGACTGTGCTGAGGCCCAGTCACAGGTCTGGAGTACAGGAGCCTGCTGAGCACAGAAGCCCTTTGCCCCAGCTGTTGGAAGTCTCTTGGTATCCTGAAACACCTCCACAACTCAGCCTCACCACAAGAGATGAGGGGAACCAGTCGCTGTCTCCAACAGAAGTGGCTCCAGGTTCATGTTTTCCCTGAGATGCTGAGAGACCTGCTGCAAATGGGGAACTCTGGCAGCTTGACCTTAACAAATTCAGGCTGATACAAGGTCACAGCTGAGACATTCCATGTGAATAGTTTGGATTCTCTGGAGCACACCAGATATCACATCATGTTCTGCACGCTTTTCCAGCAGGAGCATGAGAACAATCTGCAGATTTTCTCTTTGCAGCTGAAGCAAACACTTCAGGTGCAAGATGAGGGTAAGCTCCCCCAACCTATCTTTCTGGATATTTTGTTTTCTGCAATACTCCACTTTTCACCCATTCCATCATGGCTTTAGCTGCTTGAGGGAGGTGGGTGACCTAACCCACAGACTGCAAAAGATGACAGCTTAACTCACACTTGCACACGTACACCTTTTGCCACCCAAGTCTGTAAAAGTTCTCTTTCAAACAAAAGGTATTATCTGTCCTATAATCTCATACCCATCAACAGACACCTCTCCACTAGGCCAACTAGCTGCAAATCCCAAATTCTCCAGCTTCCACCCATTCCTCAAACAGCATCCACATCAACCACCACATCACTCACACTACCAGGGAAACCAGCCAGCGCCAGACCTCCAGAAACCCCACTGCATGCTTGGGAGGGCTGGAAGAGCCTGAAACAGATGCCTTCTTCACCACAAAGCATTTCTTAGCAAGTGAAATTGTGCAATTGTCTTAGCAGCAAATGCTTGACAGTCTTATTTCATTTTTCCTAATGACCAGAGTTAAACGACTGCAGGTTTTAACAGCGCCGGCAAATTATCAAGCCCCTCTACATTACATGGTCAATGGTCCTTTTAATAGAAAAAGCAATAATATGCAGTTGTTTGTGCCAACCAAAACTCGTTAGAAAGTATTAGTTTAAGGTAACAGTTCAGCAGCTATTAACAAGCAGGAATTTCTACAGTTATCACTTGTGAGCTGGCAGCAGCAAAACCATTCCTTTTGTTGGAGAAGATGTTGGGAGAGGGGAGCAGAGGGGAGAAGAGGGGAAGGAAAAGTTAACAAAAACACTGCTGCGGAGCAAGAGTCCAAGTTTTTCAATAATCACCCGTTTTTTTCACTAGCATAACATTAGAATTGACTTTTTGTCTTGCTGACATAGCAACTAAGAAAGTTGTGTTGCATTGACCATATTGATTGTGAACAATGCAGCCATCAGTGGGACTCTGCACCATATATTTTCAATATTGACCTCCCATTCCCTTTTCCATGGCTCCACGGGTCTGCTATTGGATTTGGACTGCAGTGTAATAAACAGCTAAGGTTTAATTAATGGTAAATGAATACAAGACATAGGTTATGACTTTAACTAATTAGGGAATTGTTGAATTAAGTCTGCCTTGGAATGCAAGGCAGTACAATCAATATCCAATAAAAGGACTATGTATGTAATTTACCTGCAAATGTGTTTCCAATACCATCAAAGTGAGTTTAAATAAGTAAGATATATGAAAGGCTACTGGAAAAAGATTTCAAAAAGTTAACACTTGATGACTTCAAAAAAGGTTTTTCTCCTTGCAGAAGGAATGTCATCTGGAAATATCCTCTCATAACACAGATGGTGACACTCAGACAGAGCTCTCCCTAAAGGATGGTGAAGGCTCAAAACATTTTTCCACGACAAGGCAACAGGAGCCAATCTGCCTCTGCAGAGTGGAGGGAGCACAAACCAGTGCTCCCACCAAGAACCAGTTAAGGTTAATGGCAAGCTCCTCATCAGGCACCTTGATCTGCCTTCCAGCACCACAGTTTTAAGCGTGCTGCCTCCCTCCCCCCAGCCTGGAGAAGTGCTCCCAGGTACAAGAAGAGGTCACCACAGGAGGGTCTGATGAACCCTGAGCAATCCCCAGACCACGTCTATTGTGCACATCAGCCCAGGCAGCCTGATTACTCATTCTGTAATCACTCCTCTGAAATAAAAAAAAGCAACCTACCTACTCCCTTGTGGGCATCTATGCTGGTAAACTCTATTGTCCCATTATGGCCCTTCCTAGGATTTTCCTGATACTGTTTGTGGTTCCCATTGGGACAATATCTGTAGGAAAGTCCATAATCTGCAAGATAAACCTGGAAGACATGAACAGACAAATGAATAATGCTTTTGTCCTTTGAAAGTATAACCTTTATAATTAAGTCTTAAGAAACTGATAGGTTAAGGACAGCCTTAGATCTAAATTTTATTAAACCAAATGGTGCCTCAGGATAAAATATGTACAACTGGGGGCTATAACAGCTGCCCTCCCCATTTAAATCCTTCCACTACTCTACTCTGATCTGATTTCAGAGTCGAGCAGAATTTCAGTCTTTTTATTTTGTTTCTAAGCTCTCTCCTCTCCAGGTGGGCATCTAGACACCATAAACTGCAGTATGCCTTTTATGCATCCTCACGCTGCTTATGGGAGCCCTTCCCCTCCTTATACAAACAGGCACAGGGCACTCCTGCTCCCACTCCCCAGCAGCTGAGACTGTGCAATTTTATACCAGCAGTGCAGCTTAAGAGCCAGAGGAAGCTTCCCCCAGCTGGACTGGACACAGGGCTCCAGCACCAGCAAGGATGGTGACCACAGGGCTGCTGGGCATCAGCCCAACCATGTTCTCATCTTTTCCAGTGTCATCGTCAGTGACTCTGTACTGGCCACAACTATTTAAACATGAAGTGTAAGATAAACCAACACAAAACCCACTAGCCCCTGCCCAACTCAGAAAGCAATCTTAGTAAAGCACTCCTGAATTCATAATAAATCTTTTAAAGGCACAGAGCTAGACTTGACTCCCAAGTTACTCTGATTCAAATCCATGGAGCTAAAGCAACCTAAGAGGAAAAAAAACTCATGCCCCCAGTGTTATTGCAGCTGCCCAACTCAGAAAGCAATCTTAGTAAAGCACTCCTGAATTCATAATAATTTTTTTTAAAGGCACAGAGCCAGACTTGACTCCAAGTTACTCTGATCCAAATCCATGGAGGTAAAGCAACATAAGAGGAAAAAAACCTCATGCCCCCAGTGTTATTGCAGCCAGCTCACACACCCAGCCACATTTACCCTTCCATCCTGCCATGGGTGATTTTTTATCCAAGATACTTCACTGTAGCTACCAAAATAACCACTGGGAGGAAGCCCTCTGGTTCTGAACAACATATCTGGGAGATGCATGTTCTTGGGACTTAACTGTGAAAGTATTAACTGCTTTGAACAGTCTCACTCACATTTATGGTATTTGAAGGCTGAAAACAGAACAGTTCAGGAGAGCTGAATTCTACTTTCTGTTCCCCTGCTGCCTTTCAAGACAAACCCAAACACACCATCTGGCTGCTACGCCTGTTTCTCTATAGGCATACTGCAGGCAGTGTTGTAGCCATGTCACTTCTGCCACCCACAGAATTCAGATGAAGGGCACAAGCCCACTCTGTTAAGTTCAGATTAACATTTTCTACCCTCCAGCAGGGCTGGACTTAATACATGCACATGGTCACCCACCACAGTGCAGGTGATGGGCAGGAACCTGCTGAAAGCAGCTGGAATTTAATCACAGTCTGTCCACTCCATGCTCTCCCACAGGTTGTCTTCTCACTCAGCCACTTTCACACTCCCACCCGGCCTTCATCCCTTCCACTGACCAGTTCCTGCATCACGATTGCTTTTTGTATAAATATCCAAGTATGGGACTTGCACTGAAAAAAAGTGCTACAGACTGCTCTTATTTTGCCAAAGGAACCCATCTCTGGGTAAAAGTTAAATCATCTGAAAGCATATAGAGATCATTTCTACTAAATAATATATTATAAAGACAAAGAACAGCTTTCCCTTACTCAAACCTGGGTTTTGTTTCATCTTCAGCTGAAAAACAGTTTATCCTCTCAAAGTCTAAAATAAACTTTTTCTGGTGCTCCCTCGTAATTTAATTATATCCTTCCTGGTAGGGGAAGAACAGACACAAAACCCTCCAGAAAAGGCATTATTTTGTAGCCCATTCTGTTGAACTGCTGATTCCTGTTTGTGCTCCAGGCAGCTTCAAATCCTGGGATGGCTGGGCTCTTGGTTTTACTGTCTCTGCTGCAGGCCCCGTGTTCATTTGGAGCGTGTCAGCTGGGAGGCAGCACTCACCCCCTGCAGGCTGAAGGCTTCTCAGGTTTCCGATGGTGTTTTTCACCTGACAGACTATGCAAACACGGATACAAGATTAAAGGCCCTAGACACGCTTAGAAAATCTGGGACAAGGCACAGACTTTGTTGGGTTGACCAATTTTGTTTCTCCCTGCATTCATTCTCCAGTGTATTCCTGATGCTCTGGTACTTGTCCTAATTGAGCCCAGAGCCAGGGGGAGGGAACTAATTTAAACTGTCCAAACACCAAGTTTTGAGAGACTTTTGCATCCTTTGTGGACTGGGAAAGGAAGAGTGGGATAGAGGTTATACTCTTCCCAGCTTAAGTGGCACCTTTTGGATTTGGCTTGACTATAGATTTCTGACATGTACAGTTGTCCAGATACAATAAGAAGAGATTTCAACTTTTAAAAATTCAGGCTATGCCTTATATTAAAAGAATATCTTAACTGTTAGAAAAACAAAACATCTTTGCCAGCTCTCTGGTTCTGTCTGGGCTGGGAGCCTCCCTTAATGTGACAGACACTCCCATAGGGCAGCCCAGCCTTGGTGGTCTCTAAACTACCTTAACAACTGGGCATCTAGAAAGTAGCCACAAATATTTGCTAGTGAAACTTGAACTATGTCAACAAGTTCCCAGGTATCATGCAGATATGACAGTAACTATGCATTCTTAATCCATTTTTAAGTGACAGATTTGCTTAAAATAGCTTCAGTAGTACCATCAGAAGAGCAGTTTAAAATGTATACCCAAAAAAAGCCTGTAAAAGTGAGGAGTAGCTTTAAGTTATCCTGCCCTCAGTAATAGTGGCAAGACCTGGAAACCAAGAGGCAATCACTTCTTAAAGCCACTCCCATGTGATTGCAACCACATCTGTGATTGCACCCCAGTTGGCTCCAGAAGTTGGTTGTGAGTGTCACTGCTCAGCTTCCTTCTAGCTGAGCCATTTATCAGGTCCACAACTTCCACATCAGATTTTCTCCACAAACAGGCACCTGATGGTAGCCTCTGGAGGCCAAGGCTCTTGGCCACCAGCAAAAAATCAATCCCCCTCAGCTTGTACAAAACCAGCAATACACTGTTACAACCTTGCCACAACCATTATCAGAATGACCACGTTATTTTAAATTATCATTAATTTCATTTCATCAATTCTCATTATAACCCTTTCATCATTAAAAAGATATATAGATTTTTATAGCTAGTTGTCACTTTTTGATAATGTAACACAGCGTGCCCTTCCAAATTTTTAGGGGAAGTTAAATTTGCAGGTTGTTGCAGGTTTATTAAGGGGATAGTAAGGGGGAAAAGAAGAGAAATATTAAAGAATATTGAGAAAACTTAAGTCAGGGTTAGTGTGTGTTTTGATACCATAAATATTTTTCACCTACATGCTTTTTTTAGGTGCAACAAAACAAAGAGAACAAAATGTAGGCAGAGTAAGATAAACACATGAAAGAAGCAAGAGTAACATGGGTGAGGAAGGTGCAGCAGTGAGCTAAGCCTGGAACTGCTGGGTTTACCTGTCTTACACTGCACACTCCTTCCCACACACTGACTTATTTTATCTCACTTGGGTTCAAGTTTGTTTTCACACACCCCAGTCTGCACTAGACTCTGCAGTGCCTGGCACGGTCTGTTATTAATAGATTTTGTTATAGATTAGGAGCCAGATTTCTAAAGCCTTTGCACCTAATTTCATGCAAACATGAATGCACCCATCTTATTCAAGCCAAGAGCCATGCAGGCACAAATAATGATTTACACAGAGAAGCAACCAGCTGTAGATGCAGCAGGCCCCTTGTCCTTTCTGTGCAGGCCTCCCTCACAGTGCTTTAGAGCTGAAGAGTTAAATCTCTGCTAAACATCTCAAATTCTTACAACTTCTATCTGTTATGATACATAACTGCCCCAATCTGGGAAGTCATAAGCCTGGCAGTTTGGATTCTCAGGGTATTCTCTTCACCTTGAGGGACACAGTGGGAGATTCATGGCTGAGAGGGTAACAGTGCAGTGGTTTTCTTGGTCCATTTCCTTTCCTGTGGTTCCATTACTAGGCTTATGTAATGTGCTGTAAATAATTAAGAAGATATCCACTAATAAGAGGCATATTGGTTGCTAATGGCCATGGTGGTGTTGGCTTCAGTTGGACACTACACTACAGGAAGGCTAAAGGTAGACTGAAGTCATTCTAGGCCACAGAAAGCTGGTCTTAGAAGTTAACATTGAGATATTTTTACATTCATTTTTCATTTTCAGTTAGGGTTATCTATGAGAATCTAGACTGACAGTTTTATTCTGTAATTATCTTGTCTAAGAAACATTTAAAATCAAAATGAGAACTAAGGTGAAAATGCAACTAAAATTTACAGCTTAAAAATCTCAACAGGCAACTGCTGGTGCAAATTTTGGTCTGCAGCATTGCAGCATGTCTGCCTGTCTGCTCCAGGGAGGGGGAAGAAAATACTGCAAGGTAATTGTTTTGAAGAGGCATTCTTCCAAACCTCATTTCATTTACTAAGAACTCCTATTTAAGCTCTTGCCTGGTGACCATTTGTCCTTTTTAATAGCATCACAATTTAAATGAGTTTAATGGATTTGCTTTTTTGCCTTTTTTTCTAGAATCTATATTAATAACACTTATTCTGCTTTATCAAGTTACTACTATGCACCAGATTACCTTCAGCTGGCCACAAGACTGAGACAGTGCTTCACCTGCTCTGTAATTGATAGGTCTGATCACTTCCAGTTCCCTTTCAGGCCCCTCAGAGATTCAGGGGCTGTGCACTTCCCTCAGTACATCACTCCTGCTCTGCCAGTCATTGTGCTGGGCCCATGTTCAGAAACATATTGACTAGAGAATTGATCTTTTGACCTGTAACTCACCGAATGGCCTCGCTCTCTTCTGTTGAATAGATGTGCAGCAAGCTGCTCTTTGAGGTCAGTTGATTCTGATCTTCTAACCATTTCTAAACATCATTTGGAGGTCACAGAGTGACAGGACCTTTACTTTATTTGTTTCTCTACCTTGCCACAGAAGGTAGGGGATAGCAGTATGGATTTCACACCTTCTTTCAGAAAGGGGACTGTGATATTTATTGGCCGTGGTGTAAACTTACCAGGTTAATTTACAGAAGAGAGAGAGGGTAGCAGCAGAAAGTCTAACACAGAAAAATGATCTTTTTGGAAACTGCAGGAAGCCAGTGACAAATTTGCACATAAGAGTACATGTGAACAGCCACTAAATGACAAAAAAATGCAAAGTTGAGTATAAAGGTAGACATGCTTTTCTGAATAGAGATTTATGTCTCTTCACCACACCAGAATATGGAAATACATTATTTTTAAGAGTTCAGTTGTGGGTTTCTTCCAAAAACAAGTTTCTAGAATTGAAGAACACTCCCAGTTTATCTTCTCTTAAAATTCTAGACCTCAAAGAGCAAGAACCCACTAGCATAAAATGCCTGACAATTCACCACCAAAAGTGTTAGGTCAAACAGCTCACTGCCAGCAAATATTAGAAATTCTCTCCTCTTAGCTCTTCTGAATTAGAATGTGAACTTTAAAAAATATTATATAGAATAATTTCAGTGGAAAAGAAATTTTACTGAAACAAGATTCTGTGCAAAACCTCTCAGCAGTTACATACACTTGGTACGTGTTCAGCCAGGAGCTACTTAAATAGGAATATCTATTGATTCCTTCCATTTAATAAATACAACTTAAGTTATATTTCCACCTAAAACCTTTGTCCAGCAACTCACAATTACATTATTTTTAATCTGTCAATTATTTTAGTACACATGAAAACAAAACACTAGTGTAGCACAATTTTCATGCAGACACCATGAGAAATAAATCAGAAAATCACCCCACAATATGGCTAATTCAAAAGCAGCTGATCAAAGTCAGCTACATGCCTTAAAATTTTATGATTACTGTAAATGGACACTTTCAAAATAATTTCCATGTGAAAAAAACAGCAGCATATCTTGCTGTCATAAAAATACACAATAGCCAAGACAAAAGAAGTCATTTGAGTTATGTTAATGGGTTTGGGTAGCAGATCGTTTTGCCTCTAAATAGCCTCCTCCTCTGGATTCAGCAGGCTGGTAAACACCATAAACCCAGATTAGGTACTAGCTGCTACCACTGTCTAAAAAAGCATGGCTGTTTTAAACAGCCAGGATAGCTTTCAAACTACGTGCTTTGGAAAGCTGAGAAGTTAAATTTGACTCAACCATTTAACTTGAAACTTGTAAAAAAGCAGATAGATACAGTCCAAGAGCTCAACCCCCAATGGCAGCAAGCTGTTTGCAAGAACAGTTTCCTCATCACTGCAGAGGAAAATTGAAAGCAAAGGAGAAATGTTGCTTACACCTAATTGCATTTTTGAAGTTAGAGATGATCTTTTTTCCTAAATTATATTCTTTTCCAAGAAAAAAAAAAACATACTTAGATTTTTTATTAACTGAAGGGAAAAAAAGAGACGTTGTTAATTGCATTTTTGAAGTTAGAGATGATCTTTTTTCCTAAATTATATTCTTTTCCAAGAAAAAAAACACTTAAACTTTATTAACTGAAGGGAAAAAAAGACGTTGTAAGAGCTTTTGAAGTATGGCAGGATCAGAAGATTTGTTTCAAAACATTTCACCAAAACACTTCAATTTGAAGGCTGGCTTTAGGCTTTAGAGTGTTAGAGAGCAGCAATGTTAACCCTGCTTACCTGTTAGACCCACTACAACAAGCAGAAACTAAGAGTTAGTGGCACAGAAACAATTCATGACAACCTTAGAAAGCTAGAACCTCCCAAGAATGAAAATACAATGGGCCACATCCCTAAACTCTACTAACATACTTAAACTGGCATAATCTAGAACAGCAATTAGGCCCTCTAACTCACCCTTTTGATTAAATTACCCAACCACACCAGTACTCCAGTCAGCAGAGCACAAAGGGAACAAAGCAGAGTTTTGTCCTGCTTCTTTCTCAGACCTTAAGCTCCACAGAGGCACTCTCAGAGCTTTCCTGACAGGACTTGAATGTTCATGCATAAAGTTCCTTTAATATGCAAATTGTTAAAGTAGAATGTACATAAAACTATTAAAAAGTAATAAAAACATGAGTAGCAGTGTAGATAAGTAAAGATGCTTACCTCGTGTGGATTGCTGTAGCCCAAAAGGAGATTTGCTGCTTTAATGTCACCATGAACATACTCATTTTCATGTATATATTCCAAAGTATCCAACTAGGAAACAATTTAAAACAGAAAACATCATCTCTACTCTGTCCCTAACACAACCACCAGATATTTCTCACTTACACAGTGAAATCAAGGGCTACACAGACAGAGCTGACAAATATGGTTTGAGATAGGGCATCCTCCTCCTTCAGCTCCTCACTGAGGTACAACAGCTCTGATGCACATTCCAGTGCTCCCTGAAAAAATTTTTCCTTTATTCTCAGAGTTCCTTGTCCTGCAAGTCATGACCAGTGCCTCTACTGCATCTGCTGTGTACTGTTCAGTAAGAGCAGCCTGTGACACCACGCCTGGTGTGACCAAGGAGCAGCTACACAATCTTCCATTGGCATGTGCCACTCTACACACACTTGAAAACAAAACTGATGTTTGCAGACTGGCCTAATCCTGCCCTGTACAATCAGTGTGCTCAGCAAACAGATGGAAAATTTTGCATTCAGGCATGCAATTGTGAACTTTGACAAATATGGATGTCTAATACAATACCCTTCAGACACTGGGGAAAAAAAATCAATATATGTTAAAGCATATGAGAATAGGCTTACACATCTCATTCTAGACACACATGTTGAAGTGCCCAGCCTATGTTTTAACCTATTAGAAAAAATTCTGGTTTGAGCCCACCAATTACCACTCTGCAGGGGCCTTGATCTCATACTCATTGTATTTAAAAAAACTCCAGAGCTACCTATAAGGACTATATTAGAAAAGTAATTTTCTAGTTGAACTCAGCAAGTTCAGGACACAGCAATTTCCTCTCTCTGTGTACATACCATTCGTGCCCCAAGCTGCAGAACAGTCTCCTTTTTAAATCTGCTTCCACAATCTTCAAAGATTCTTTGAAGGTCTTCCCCCAGTCTCTCCATGACCATGAATCTATAGCTATCAGGAAACAGATAAACAACAGAAATCCCTAAGACAAGACTGCAAGTTTGTGTCAGAAGGAAAAGATTTATCTCCATTTTATTGAAAATGGATCTTCAATCAATTTGAGGCTTAATTACAATTCATTTTATTACCTTTTCCCCTTGTACTCAGCCAAGCCTGATCCCCAAAACACTGGAATCCCTAAACATCTTAATTTTTTGAGATTCATCCATTTTCTTACTGTAATAATAATAAAAAGAAAACATTGGGTTAAGGGTAGCTTGAGAATTTCAAGTTTGGTGTGGGTAATGTTTGGTAGTTTGTGTAGCAAACAGTTGACACCATACTGTACCCTGAAGTTTTCTACATTCTGCAAGAAGTTTTGTTCTAGCAATGTGTTACTTTGTTCCCTTAGAAGGCAAATGAGCAATTACCAAGTCATCTCAAGTCTTTAGGACAGTTCCCATTAATAAATCACATCCATGCTTAAGCCTCTACAGAATCAAGTGCCTTGATGACTACTACAACCTGTGATGATTACACACACTGAAATAGTTACTAGCAGAAATATGGTCACCAATTAATCCACGTAGTGCCTCTGTTCCAAAGCCAGCCTCCCTCTGCAGTCCATTCCTTGTTGTGCACTCTGAAACATGCATGTAATAAATTTGGTACACTCCTGTTCTCCTTTCTGATCAGGAAGGACAAGGCTGACACTCAGGTGAA